TTCCCTAGTATTGCGGTCCCTGTCCCTTTAAGGCTTCCAAAAAGCACTCGCCAAAAAAAAAGGGAAAAACGCGCGATTTTCTTTGTCCTCAGGCACTGGTCTCAGGCACCCGCTCACCGCCCTTACTGCCCTGTTTCCCTGGTATTGGGATCCCTGTCCCTTTAAGGCTTCCAAAAAGCACTCGCCAAAAAAAAGAAAAAAACCGCTCCGGTTTCTTTTCACCCGCTGGGAGCCGGGGGGAGGGGCGCTCGGGTCCCGCCGGGCTCGGGCTGTATCTTACCCCCTTCGCGAGGCGCTGGGTTCTCGCAGGTGTGGATGTGGTCTGGATGTTATCCTGTGTCCTCTGGTCTCTATTTTAGGAAGTTGTCTTTGTTATATTTTCATAATTCTATGTGGTTTTGGGAGGAGAGTTCCTCTGCTCTACTCATGCCGCCATCTTGGCTCCGCCTCTCAGAATTTGAGTTTTGAACAAAAGTCTAAGAACTGTATCATACAGTTTAACCTCCTTGTTAAATAAGGGAAAAACTGAAGACCAAAGGGGTTGAGTAATTTTCATTTTTTATGTTGGCAGACTAAGTACAACACTCAGTGTATAGTCTCCCCATAACTCAAACACAAGGAAGAAGGTTATATGGCAGTAGGGAGGTGAAAGGGCTCCCATGGGCTGTGGTCCAGATATGATACTGCATAATGTCAGAACCCATTTCCTCCACCAAAGACTGGTCTTGTGATTTCAAATTAGATCAGTTTATCCCTTCTATATTGCCACATAGGAAAGGAAGAAGAGCTTTTCTTCTCCCCCACAAAATAATCCACAGATGTTTTGTGTGTTTTCTTGAGGAAAAGTTAGAATGTCTTTAAAAAAATATTCCAGCTTTTGTGTAGTGAAAGAACATAGAAATTATACTTCAGAGGATCACAAAAATGCCAAGAAATGTAATGAAAAGTATGCTTTACATGTGATTCTATTCTAAAAGTCTGTTAGGATACCAGTGATTTGAAGAATCATTTCTTATTCAACATAAAGTCCTGCCTTTCATGGGCAATGGCTTATCTACATTACAGTCATTTGCAAGAGAATCCAGTTTTTAATTGCAATCAACATATGTTCAAAATCCTGCCAAAGTGAATTATGGGAATATTTGTATTTAATAGCCAAAGTCTCCTATGGAGACTTCCATGTATGTATACATTGCCAGTAGTAACACATCTAAACTCCTTAATTTCACCATTGCTTGTTATTTCCTTATACACTGATTCTGTGTGCCATATAGTTCTTTAACTTCATGCTTATTACTGTCACCTTACCTAATCAACACCCCTACTGTTTTTCCTTCCCTTCCATTACTTCAAACTTGATTTGAAATTTACTTCTTCCATGTGAGTATTGCCTGTTAAATAGATTGATTCATTTTTCATAAAGTTTTGTTTCACTAGGATCCCCTTCTGTCCTAGCAATGGAAGATGATCAATGAAGAAGTCAATCCTATGGCTTAGGGAACCAGAAGGACTCCCTGTAGACAGAAAGAAAACACCCAGGTTGTAGATCAACTAACAGAGAAATCACCCTGTGTTAAAAGTCGGATGAACCATAGGAAATACTTTAGCTGAGTTTTACCATTAAATACATATAACTGGACTATTTTTATAGCTTTTTTCAAAGGTCAGCATATATTTAAAGACTGGTATTGAACATTTTAAAGGAAAAAATCTGAAATAACTACCTTAGACTTTTTAAAGCCAATGTGTTCATACTGTATGAATTTCACTCTTTGTTCTTTTCTAAATCCAAAGAGCAAATTACCAATTGTATCTTTTTTAATATAAATACTACAGGTGAATTGAAAGAAATTAAGCAAGATATCTCCAGCCTTCGTTATGAACTTTTGGAGGACAAGAGCCAAGCAACTGAGGAGTTAGCCATTCTAATTCATAAACTCAGTGAGAAACTGAATCCCAGCATGCTGAGATGTGAATGATTCAGTAACCTGGAATTATGGCTTTGACTATAGCACAAATGTGGGCAATAATATTTCTAAGTATGAAATACTTGAAAAACTATGGTGTAAATTTTTAGTATTAACTACTTTTATGTGAATCTTTACAAGTTAGATCTTGATGATTTATTGTTTTATCACATGAAAATGGTCTTCATTTTAATTGTCTGCCTTGACATTATAAACAATGACAGGCCATTGTATTTAAAGGCCCAATATTACTACATTACTGACATTTCTGTCCATTTTAGAATAAACTCTACATCTTTGTACTATCTGTTTGCCTCCAAGATACTGTAAGCTCCTTGGCAGGGACAATGTCTTATATATCTTTGTGTCTCCAGCATCTAGTACAGTGCCTGGTACATCGTAGGTGCTCTATAAATGTTGAAACCAACTGAACTGCCAACAAAATAAAAATAAAAATGCCATCATTACATAGTATGACTTCCTTCCCCAGTGCTAAAGAGACTTCTTTTTACTAGAAACTGAAGAAATTTTATAACTGGCTACGATTTGGTGAGATTTTCTTAGAAATTTTGGCATCACTGATAATCCTAGAAACTTTGAGCCTTGAGTGAAGAATTTAATGATGAAATGGGTTAATAGAAAATATAATTACATTGCATATTTAAGTTTCAAATAATTGTCCAAAACAATAAAGATTTTTCTAAAGTACATACTATTTGCTTTTTGTCTTAACTTTTCCTGTTTTTCAAAAATGTGAATTTAGTCAGTGGGCTGGTGAATTTTCTTAAAGCTAGGGGTTATGCAGGGTTGTTATTTTGTTGCACTCTCCTTATTTCTGCTTCTGGTGCCTTAATGCTAAATAAGACATCAACAACTGATTTTTTTGTCTATTAGAACCATTCTGAATTTGGAGGGTATGTTTGCGGGAAGAACTAGGAAAGAAAAGTGGCTGTATACCTGAAAATCATGTGCAAGCATCACCACTGAAGGTGTGTTATATCTTTTTGAGGCATCTCTTGCCATATTTACTTACAATGATGCACATCCTTTCTCTTATCAAAGCATTTCAATTACACTTTCTACATAAAACTGAAAAAATGGAAATGTTGAATGAAAAAGCATCAGATTCAGCTGAGGACATTCAAGACTTGGAGTCTTGAATGAAAATAAAACTCCTAACATCTATGCCCTCTGAGTACATACATCCTTTTTTTTTTTTTAGTCCATGCTTCTCACAGCTGTGGAGCTCTCAACATAGGTCACTTTTCCTTTATTTACTATGCTTATGTAAAACTGTTATGTTCTTAACATTTCCTTTTTTTCCTCTTTCATAGTTGTTAGGTAGTAGTCAAGAAGGAAAATATGATGCTAAGGAATGGTGAACACTATTGATGTCCTGCCCAGATCCCCTTTAATGGACCAGTGCAGGCATCTCCCAGATACTATGAGCGTTGGCTCCTTAACAGTTCAAAGCCATCCATTTCCCTAGGGCGCCTTCAGCTGGATGTTATTGCCTCCCCATCCCTATACCAATGGCCAAATGACTGGTCTGGAGACAAAAAATGCTGGTCCCCTGTCTCGAAATAGGCCCATCATTTTGGTGAACTTGGTGCTCCGGAAGGGTTTAGGCAGAAACCAGACACCAGCTGTGACCGAATCTTTGTTTAGCTTTTCCTTCTGTCTTATCCTGTTATTCTCCATCCTTTTCTCTTGAGAGTATCTCCTCAGTGAATCACCACATCCAAATCTTTTCAGTTTTTGCTCTTAGGGAACCCATCCTAAAACATAGGTATTACTGTGGTAACACAGAGACCAGGAGGTGAAGATTACCTCAGGGGATGGCTGTCAGAGTTAATACTTCTTTGAGGTTTATAAGAGTCCTGAGCCAGCAAGTCCTAGCCTCATTCATAGTTATAACAGGGCTTTTGGGTCTAAAAGCAAAGGCCAAAGAAGTCAGTGGGGCAACTCAGAGAAGGAAACATTTTAACAGGGCCAAAAACAAGTTGTCTAGCAAAAGACATTCAGGTGCTTATGATCAATTAGAGAATTATCAAAGTCCAATATCTCTTAATTTTTTACCACTTTGCTGTTCTTAGTTTTTCTTTCAGTTACAGATAACATAAAGGAAAGGAGGTAACACTCAAACTGCTTAAGTTCACTGTTTAAAATGTTTGGCACTTTGTAAGCACTTTGGTATCAAATTTGCCATTGATTCGATGGAATTCACAATATGTTGATGCTGCCAGGCAGCCGCGTCTGGGGCAGTCTTTTCCCATGCAGTGGGCAAAACCTCAGTTCAGATCCTGGAGGGTTCTTGACTCTGAATGAAAAAGAATTGTCAGTCAGATCAAACAAGTGCCAGCATGGAAGGAATTCATTAAAGCAAGAGTAGAAGCAAATGTCAGTAGCCATGCAGGCAGTAGAGAGCAAAGAATAGAGTGAGGAAAGGAAAGTTCATTGAACTCCTGCTTGGCATAGAACAAATCCCTTGCCAGTTCTTAAAGGCAGTTCACTTGGTGTTCAGTGTCTGCTTGATCTGCACAGCCTGGGAATTGTATCCCTACCACACTAGGATTGGGGGAGCTGGGAAACATTGGAAGGAGTGAGTTTTATGTTCTGAGAACTTCTACTTCTCCACTGGTCTGAAATAAAACAGGGAGAGAGAAAAGGATTGTGTTAAGACTAGAGAGCTGAATGAAACAGCAAAGTGACAAAGACACTTTACACCAGAGGTGGAGGTTGGAGAGTTATATCTTTATCATGGAAAAGAGTTCAGAGACAAAGTGCAATAGGCTTATGCAACAAGAAAGCTTATTTGCAGAGACAGTACACCCTCAAACACAGGTAACCTCAAAGAGGAGGCACATGTAAGGGTTTAGGGTTTGGGGTTTTATAGGGCCTTTTGGGTAGGGGTTGGCATAAGGCGTGATGCATACAGATGATTCATAATTCCTTTGAAGTTTTGTTTTAAGAATAGGGTAATTTAGGTGACTTCTTTGATCTGGATCTCAGCATTCTTCATCCACATAGGTCCATTTACACTCTGGAGGTCCATCTCTCGTCCTTATTACAAAGTTACTTAATTGATTAAGGGGCTGGAGGAAGAGGAAAAACAGCATATAAATTAAATTAAAGATAACCTGGGGCTTTTTTGCCGGCTAAGTAGATTTTACAATGGCATGAGTCTTGTCTCATTTCCCGCTCTATCTCATGAGAAGCTTGGATTCATATACTTGAAATAAAAAAGGGAACTATGTAAAATACTATCAAGTGTCTTCCAAGAGTTTTGTGCACTAGAAAAACTTAGAAATGACATATGTATTATGATTTTTAAAAGCAAATTTAGTATAATTCAGGATAATTCTCTTATCCAATTGTGTCCATTATATTTTGCTTTTGAATTCATAAGCCAAATAAAGGCAGCTTTTGTGACTGGGAAGGTAACATATCTAACAGACAACGTCAAAAGGGAACTGAAGCCACATTAATTGTTGTCAGTGCCCTGGGACAAATCACTTCACTTCTCTGGTCTCATATCTTATTCAGTCCTACAAGGTTATGTTAGAAGTTGGGGTTATGGACATCATAGAGATGTTTCGGGAGGTTGATATCATAATCCAAAGTACTGATCTCTCTTTCCATGACTTTATTTTTTTTAAATCAGTCTAAAAGAGTTATTTGTTATTATTATTTTTTCACTTTCAAAACAAAACTTTGAGGGCTTCTAAGTTCATACTCCATTAGTGGAGACTCCGTTAGTTTATACTCCATTATACTCATGACTCAGTCACTCAACCAGCCACCTCTGGCTATGTGATGGTTTTAACTGTAATGCAATTTAATTCCTTTACTTCTTAGTCATAAATTTATTTTTGGGTGCTTTGAGACCACAGCATAAGGTTACAAGTTACTGAAGAGCTTAATAATTCTGTAAATTTGTCTCAAGGCAATTTTTAATCACATCTGAATACAATCCTTTTCAGGGATTTTTTGTTGTTGTTGGTTTGTTTTTAGGTAGCTCACCAAGAGACCTCTAGAATCTTAAAATATGTTAAAAAGGGAAAATATATATGCAATTTTGTCTAACTTGGCATTTCATTTTTGTGAATTATTTGAGAAGTACTAATTTGAGTTTGTTTTCTGTGAATTAGGAGAATATTCAGTAACACAGTTGATTATGTGAAGTTAACATTAGCTTTGGAAATTAGGCCAGAGGCTGCTTTGTGTACCTGTCTGGGAAACCACAGATACTCACATGCTCTCTTAACACAAGCTGGGTACTGAGAAAATGTTAAGAATTGAATTGAGTAATTTTTTGTCTATTTTTGATGCTGTGTTATAGCCTTGTTTCAATGTTTTAAAATAAATTTAATATTCAAAATAAATTATTTTCTTCTACAGAAGTAAAATAGTGGGTATCATTGTAAAATGGAAAATAAGCATTTCTTGTATATGTTTTGTTCCAAATACTGTAAAGATTATATAAAGATGAATTTTACAATGCTATCTTAAATAATATTGCAATCTAAAATAAAATACGTTTTCTTTAAAGTTACATCTCTTCACAAAAATTTCCATTTTACACAAAATTACAAAATCACACAATGAAATAATTATTAAAATTTCTAAGGGCTTTGAAAGATTATATACTACTATGAAAATGGTTTGTGAATCCAAAAGGGAAAACATTGGATTAATTGTTTCTAAGATTTCACCCAGCCCTGGAATACTTTTCATACTTGCCAAACATCATTTTTAAAAAAGATAATTTCTGCCCACTCCACCAGGTTTTTCAGTAGTTTGGTTTGTTTGTTATAATGTAAAAACATAGCCATAGTGATATCAGTACCATTTTTCTTAAGTTGCTGATATGTGTTGCCAGGATTAGAAAAGGGAACCAAGAGAACAGACAGTGGGAGGATTTGGTACCTACCAGCTTAGACTGCCCTTTATCAGAACCCAAAATCACCTGGACAGTGAAATTGCTAGTCTGGAAACTATGCACAGTTAAAGGATTCTTATAAACTCTTTGTTAAGTTAATTTTAAATTTTATTTTACAAAAATTTATTTTTAAATTGTTAAACTTTATTAAAAATACTGCAAACATCTTAAGGAAAACAGACAACAGGAAGAGCAAAGCTTTAAATGCCTCCATTTACAAACAACTAAAGTATTTTTGATACATTTCTTAATCTTTTCCTATAATTGTAATCATAATGTACACATAATTTTTTGTTTTTATTATTTTCTTGAACACTTTCTGTATCATTATGCAGCTTCATTATTTTCACTGTCTGTGGCTGCATAATAGTCCACAAAATGAATGTACCATTCCCTCATAATTGGACAGGTCTCCCTATTTTAGGTAGTACCTCAATTAGGACTTCCTACTTTGTGTTGTTTTCACTGACTAAATAACCCAGAATTGGGGTTATGCGTTAAAAACATAATCACACATTTATAGGTTTGGATACATTTTGCTAAATTGCTTTGGAAAAGGGTTTTATTGCTAGCACAGTTTGATGCTTTACATCCCTTCCTACAACATATAGTAGTATTGTTTAAATCTTGTTTCATTTGAAAGGCAAAATAGGTATTTTGCTTTAATATTCATTGCAAGTGAAGGTAATAGATTTCTGTAAGTTTGTTCAGTGACCACTTTGTGAATTATTTGTTCATGTTTTTACCTGCTTATTAGAATAATAGTATTTTTATTAATTTATGTGAGTGGTTTATAAAGGTATTAATTTTTTGTATATATTTATCCCAAATTTTAGTTTATATTTTTTAAGTTTTGTGACATAATAAAATGTTTAATCTTTATTTTTCATGTCTGCTTTTTCCTTTGTGGTTTCTTCTATTCCACTTTAAATCAGACAAGTTCTTTTCTGTTAAGGGCTGAGTTATGTCCCCCATAAATTCATGTGTTGAAGTCTTAACCCGGATACCTCAGAAAGTGACTGTATTTGGAGACAGGGCCTTTAAAGAGACAATGAAGTTAAAGTGAGACCATTAGGGTGGGCCTTAATCCTGTCCGACTGATGTCTTTATTAGAAAAGGAGATTAGGGCAAAGACACAGAGGGAACACCATGTGAAGACACGGAGAGGATGCCCATCTACAAGCCAAGGAGAGAGGACTCAGAAGAGTGGTTTGGTTCCCTGCTGACCCTGATCCTATATTCCTAGCCTGTGAGACCTGTGAAAAAATAAATTCCTGAGGCTTAAGTCACCCAGTTTGTGGTACTTTGTTATGGTGGCCCTAGCCAATTCATATACCTTCCAACTCCCTAAATTCTACAGCATTCTGTGCAATTCTATTTTCTCCTATCTCTGTTGCTTCACATTTCAATTTACTTCTAAAATTTCTATGTTTTCGTTGAGTCTAAATTGATACATATTTTCCCCCAGTTGCTACATAGCTAACCCATCTTCAGGCATTGTTGTCTATTTTATTATTGAGTTACTTTAGCCTCAGTAAAAGAATTCTCTGGTACATCCTGGCACCTAGTCAAAACCTCAGATTACTTTATAAGAAGTAATTTCTCTTCCAAAGAAGCACCTCTTCTCAGGGGTTTAATTGTTACCTCAGAATTGTTTGTGACTCTCCCCTAGTAGACCACAGAAATCAGGAAGGGTGCTGTATCTTATTCATCTGTAGTATTTCTGTAGGCAGAGCACTGTGTGCATTAAGGAAAGACTGATGAAAGTGAGTCAAGGTATGTCAGCTATAGATCAGATCCTGGGTCACTGCAGGCCAGTAGTAGTCTGGAGGTTCCTGAGGCATTTTCAGGGGGTCTTTGGTTTTGAAACTATTTTCATAACACTAAGATGTTATTTGCCTTTTTCAGTGTATTGATATTTGTAATGATGTGGTGGTTAAGCATGAATAGTACTTAAGCATGAATCAAAGCAGTAGCTTCAAACTAGTAGTAGTCACTATTCTTGCCACACATTGGCAGGAAACAAAATATCATTTAGAAACAGCCTTTGTGAAACAGCAAAAAGTGTTGATTTTAAGTCAAGTCAGTTTTGTAAAATTCTGTGTGATGATGTGAGAAGTATGCATAAAGCATGTCTACTAAATACCAAAGTGCATGTTGTCTCAGGGAAAAACACGAATTGATTATTTGAGTTGCTAGCTGAACTCACTGCTTTTTCCATGGGACACTTTTTTTGAAAGCAGGACTGACAAAATTGTGATAATTCAGGCTTGGATATTCAGTATAGCTTTCTTGTGAATTCAAGAGGGGAACCTATCATTTCAAGGGAAACAACTGACATTTCTTGGCAATGCTTAAAATTCGAGTTTTTAAGCAATATTAGAATTTTGCTAAATTTGTATCTACCATCTGAGGTTGACAGCTTTCTGATGTTTCTGATATTTCAAAACTATGAAATCCATGGTGATACTAACAAATGGGATATTTTATATGTTGTATAATGAAACCATATTCTACATTGCACCTAACTTTTCAAAAACTACCACTTGAGTTTGGACCAAATTTTCCTCATGTACTTATAAAAAATACAGATTGAATGCAAAAGTATATCTGGGACTCTCTTTTAATATTCATGTAGACAGTAAATAGATTTGCAAACAATGCTAGCCTTTTTACTTTTTTTAATTTTGGAAAATAGTTATTTTTCATCAAAGTATTAATGTGAGTTAATTTTTTAATGTTTTTAAATGTTCAATTCTAATTTCTCATATGAAAATATCAACACACAACTTCAGTAAACAAAAGGTCTTTGGAGTCCTGAATAGTTTGTAAAGGGCCAAAAGTTCGAGAATTACTTTTGTGAGCTAACGTCGGTAACGGTGCAATCTAATTCTTTGAGGGACCCTTTGCAGCGTCAGTGGAAGAAGCCAGAATCTGCACAGGTTTCACATCAATCTGCTACACACCGAAAGGGACAGGAAGTGAGGCTTGAAGTGGCGGTGCGAGGTGAGCCAAGGCTGCGTCTCTGGTCTCCCTGGAAACATCCTCCTCAGGTCTTCGGGTACATGACCTCCGTTCCTCTCCGCCTCAGATTGGAGCAGGTTAAGTCGGTGGGCGGCCCGTGGGGAGGGGGCGTGGCTCCACTTTCGTCACGTGGACGTATTGCCGTCACGCAGGCTGCCACTGCTTCGAGACCCCGCCTCTGCGTGTCCCGCAGAGGCGGCGGAAACTGGGGTTGCCCCTCAGAGGGGATGTGAGCGGTTTCCTCTCAGAGGCCTGCGGTCCCGCAGCCTCCGCCCCTCCTGTCCCAGTTCGGCGGTGCCCAGTGCATCCGTGCCGCCGTCATGGATCTGAATTTAAACCGAGCGGATTATTTACAGGTAAGCCCGAGGGGGCGGTGGCTGGTCCGTGACGGTTCACGGGGTCTGAGAAAGAAGCGGCTCTCGCCCCGTGGCTCTGGCGCCTGCCGGGCCCTGAAGGTGCCCCGAACGTCCCGACGCGATCTGGGGCTCCTCCCCGGGGCCGCTCCTCTCGGGCTGCAGCTACCTGTAGGCCTCTAGCTCCTCAGTCCCATCTCTACCCGGGCCCTTCTCCCGAGCGCCCCTTACTTCTTACCGTGCGCTGGACCTCACCTGCCAGATAATGATAAAAGCAACAACCGCCATTTATTGAACATCTAGTTTATTCTAAGGGCTTAACATCCATAAATATTTAGTCCTTATAAAAATTATCAAAATAGGTAATAGTACAGTTGGGAACCCAGGGGTAATTTCCTTGCCAGCGAAAAAAGGATAGAGTTCCTCTTTGAAAGAGTCTCTGATTCCTGCTGGTGTTCTTCCTGTTAACACCATCCTGTGTGTCAGTATTGCAGCCGTACCCTTTCTCTCTCTTTTCTCCATCAACTCTTTATGTAGTCAAATTTTGGAAAATGGTACAAGTATCAGTTTCCCTGGGAACTTTCCACTTTAATATCTTCCATATCCAGCTGGTTACTGTATGTTGCTGCTGCTTTGATTTAAATATCTCTTGAATCTTGAGTCCTATTTTCATTATCTCCATTACCCCTCATTCAGGTTCTCGTCTTCTCTTGATTTTATAATTGAAATAGCTTCCTAATTGGGCTCCTAGCCTCCAGCCTCACCTCCCTCCAAGCTTTCCTTCCTGTCACTTGCTAGATTGCAGTTTCAAAAATACAAATTCTAAACATTACATAAACTTCAATAGTACTCCATAGATACAAAATAAAATTGTATATCTACACTATATGTAAATACTTTCATGATCTGTTGTTTTCTCCAATGCCTCCCCCATTGTTCCCATCCTCTAAGAACCACTAGTAACAATTTCCTGCTGAATAAGCCATGCTGTTGGCATCTTCTGTACCTTTTGTAAAATAATCTTTATCATCAGTTAAATTGGAGGTCATTGCCGTCAGCATGTTTTAGCAAACTCTTACATGTTGCATTTTTAATATAACTGTAACCTATTTCCAAAATTTTTTAATCACTTTACAAATAAACTCCTTAACAAGCATATGAAGTTTTTAATAGAAGGCTTCTGGAAAGTTTTTTTATAAAGTAGCTTACCAGAAATGTCACATTATTTTGGGGTTGACAGTTTCATAGCATAAATTTTACTATTTTTGGTTGTTTCCCATGTTTTGACTTTTGTGGCATATTTCATTAGAAAATAAGTTCATTGCTGATTAATAACATCACTAATTAATTGCAATAAAAATACGGCTCATTGATCTGAATTTGCTGATGTAGTAACTTCAAATAAGTGTATGGGAGAACATTCATTAGGTGTTTCTTTAGGTGGGCGTGACCTCTCAGAAGACTATGAGACTACTTCCTGCCTCAAGACAAAGGGGTACACAAAAGGTACTGTAGAGATACTTGATTTCTCCATTATCTCTAGCTCTAACAGAGGAGAGTTCTGTATTTCCTTCTTTACTGAGAAGTTACTCTTTTTAAAATAGTGGTAAAATGAAAATGAACTTCCTCTCACTTGAAAAGAGGTGGGAATATCAAGGAACATTTACAAACAATTTTATTGGACGTTATTTTTATGTACAGTTAGTAAGTAGTATAAGCAAACTGTTGAAAACCATATTCCATTTTCCTGGTAATAATTCTTTCTCTGTACATTATACCTTTCTCCACTCACATACATTCTTCACTACCAAAGATATGTGCACCTAGCTGAAATGCTCACTTTTGAGTGTGAATTATTCCTATTACCGAATCTTATAGATCCCTAATACCTACAGTGGAAAGTTCTGATAATCCACATCAGAGGCCTTTAACATTGACCACCATTATAAGGATATTAAATTCTGTTACTAACCAACTTAGTGACCCTCCTGGGAACTCACTTACCCTTTCTGTAACTGTCTTCATCTGTAAAATAGAGACAACCCTTGCTATGAATGCTTCACTGGGTTTTGAGTCTTTAAGTCCGGGGAGAGGAAACCCTGGGAGCAAAATACCTCTGAAAACCAAAATTAGTCAAAAGGAGAAATAAAGTTTAAAACCTGTTTATTGCTTAAAAAAAAAAAAAAGAAAGATTGATCCTATGATTTCCACAATTATAATTTCTTAGACTAGTAGGATATATAGTATCTGTGAAATGAATACAGTATTCTGATGTGTTAACATTTTATAAAGATAAATCAACAGATTTAAGACTGAAATTTATGTATTCAGTGTACTATATCAGCACTTCTCAACCTTTTTGGTCACAGACTGCTTTTACATTCTTAAAAATTATTGATGATCCCAAAGAACTTTTGTTTATGTAGGCTATAGTGATGTTTACTATATTAAAACTAAAACTGAGAAAGGTCTTCCAGACACCCAAGTGTTAACAACTTGTTATTACTAGTTGTTAATAGTTGTCAGTTCTTTCATTCTTAAAAATGGTGTTCCTTGAAAAACGTGGATAATTCAGCTCATAACTCAGTTATACAGGTGCCTTTTAGTATGCAAGAAAAGTACTTTATTCATACTTCCTATGTCCTCACACTGAATTTTAAAAAGAGGTACTCAAGTGTCATAATATAATAAGAGTAATCATTTTTGTTACTTCATCAAGGACAGTCTTCTATGACAGTGGATTTTTTTCTTTCTTTTCCAGTAGTGGTGAAGATTATAATAACTACTGGTGTAGTTTGCTCTAGTTGTTCTGGTTCTTGACAGACATCAACAACCCTACCCACCACTGCATCTGCACCATCACTCTAAGTATTAACCTAGTTGAAAAGGAAAATAAAGACTTATTTGGAAAAAGAGTTTTGACCTGGCAAATTTCCTAAAATCTGTTCCCTAGTGGGAAACCTTTTTAAAAGGTTCTCATTGACCCCAAGAGTCCAGGAACCACCCTTTGGGAATCTCTGTAATAGACTATTGTTTATAGAAATTATTGGAATAGTATGTTGTCAGAAAATTCAAAACCTTAACTATTCCTACATATTCTTTCTTCTGAAAAAAAGTTCTGCCAATAGCAGAGATCCATAAATCTCCTGAAAATGTGTGCATAATGTTTGTGAATGTTCATTGTTCTGGGGAAAACTCCACAGCTTTCATCATATGCACAAAAGGGGTTTGTGATCCTTCCCAGAATGTTAAGAATCAGAAACTAAGAACATGGTCTATGAAATATCAACTTTTTGATATTTAAGATTAATTTTATGTCATAACATATGATCAATTTCCTAATGTCCCTGTGTGCTTGAAAATAACATTTTAATTGGGATGAATGACTTGATTGTTCATATACATTGCACACACACACACACACCCCTACACATACAAACATGCACACATATATACATATGTGCATATGTATTAGATCAAAGGTAATTGTTTTTCTAATCTGTATCCATATCTGTTTGATTATATTTATTTCAAAATAATCCATTGACCACATGTGATAGATGAAGCTGAGTGATGGATACATGGGAATCATTATAATATTCTGTCTACTTTTGCACATGTTAAAATTTTCCCATTAAAAAGGTTTTTAAAATATCAATAGGTCAGTCATGACCTTATTTGATAATCCATTTAAAAAATTGATCTTAGAATGTTCTTTGCTCCATTTAAGAAAAAAACCTACCTCCCTGCCGTGTTTGTCCCTAGTCTCTTATTCTATTTTCATTATAAGAATAGAATATATGACCAATTACTTCCATAACAACTCTCCATAGCCTCCTCTTTGTTCTTTCTTATAATTCTTTGAAATAATATTTCCTGGATTTTCTGATCTCTACTTTTAAAATGAGAATTTATATATTGAGAATCTTGTTCTCCCCATATAAGCTAATAGGGCCTAATAATAGTCATTTTAGGTTTTCTTCAATCTGTTACAGGTGGTTATTGGTGATCAGGATGGGGTAGTTATGTGCTTTGGCATGAAGAAAGGAGAAGCAGTGGTATGTACAACTTTTTTTTTTTTTTAGGGGAAAAAAGGATTTTCTGAAAGGGAAATGCACTACTTATTAAATATACCTAGGTAAAAATTTTCTAAAACAATGAAAAGTGGGTTGTGAGGATGGTAGTTGTATGAAGAATGAGGCTTCAGGCAGCACGATAGTCATGTGCTAGCTAGCCAAAAAACAACCTTTAACAGCCTTAGGTAATGTATTAGTTTTCTATGCTGTGTAACAAATTACCTCAAATTGAGGACCTTAAAACAACACACACTGATTATTTTGCATTTTCTGTGGGTCATGTGTCCATGCTCAAAGTATCACCTGGCTGCAATGTAGATGCCAGCCAGGCTATATTCCTTTCTCGAGCTCAGGGTCCTTTTCCTAGCCCAAATGGTTGTTGGCAGAATTCAGTTCCTTGCTGATGTCTCCATTTTAGTGCTTGCTATCTGTCATCCAGGGCCTACTCTCAACATCTTGAGGCCCCCCACAATTCCTTCCTGCATGGTCCTGTCACAGGCCCTCTCACAACATGTTGACCTTCTTCTTTAGTTCAGCAGGAAAATCTCTCCCGTCTGCTAAGATGGAGTCTTACATAACATAATACAATATGGAAGTGACTGTTCCATCACTTTTGCCACTTTTATTGTAACATTATCGGAAGTGATTATTGCATCATCATATACACAAATCATTGTTTATAAGTGATAGGTCTGAGATGTGAATTCTTACATTCGTTTCACATTGTATGGAAATTACAAAAAGATGAAAATGGTGAAAAGTGTCAGAAGCATGTTTCCATTATTTATATCTCCTCCCAGATATTTTATTCTCTGTATAAAGTCATTGGAGGGGAAGGGAAGAAATGTGCCAATAATAAAATGGAAAATAACCAGGAAGAAATAAATAATAAAAGTGATGTCCCCAGTTAAATAGAGAAATACTAGGTTATACATTTAGGTTTTCAGTAAGTTCTATAGTCCTTAATTTATACTAGTAAAATTTATAAAAATTGTAAAGAAAGCGAGAGATTCGTTTATATTAAGGTGATTAGAAGTATAAAAGCATGTTCATTGGAACCAGTTGGGGAATCTTGTTAAAATCTAGATTTTATTCATGGGCCTGAGATTCTGCATTTTTAATAAAGTGAGTGATACTAATGCTGCTTCTTAGTGAACCCACTTTGAGGTGCAAGAGTTTAGGTTTCAATGGTGATGTTGAAATATGTGTGTTAATAAATATTCCAAACTTTGAAGATATGTAGTAAGAAAACAAAAGACCCACTGAAGCAAATACATTTGTTTCTACAGCTGTTTCTGTATAGTAGAACTATAGTATTTTGTAAGTTTAAAATCACAGAATTTTTTATAGTAAAGGAAATGCTTACAGTAAATTTGTGTGCTTAATTTTTTCCCCCAATTATTTTTGCAGACAGTGTTTAAGACCTTACCAGGGCAGAAGATTGGAAGATTGGAACTTGGAGGGGTTCTTAACACACCCCAGGAGAAAATTTTTATTGCTGCAGGATCTGAGATTAGAGGCTTCACAAAGAGAGGAAAACAGTTCCTCTCTTTTGAAACAAACCTCACTGAAAGCATTAAAGCTATGTATGTTTATTCTCTTTTTTATTTTTACATATACATTTATAATATTTTGGATAGGTGACAAACATCTACTTGAGTATTGTATCTTAATTTTCTGGGAAATAAAATTGACTAAAGCTACTTTTTTAGTCAGAAATGAATTGATATACAATCAATACAAAACTGGTTGTTGAAATGTTTTTCTCTTTAAGACTCCTATAGTATTTTTACATTTATTTTTGACTAGTTGGTTCAGTTATAATTTATGATGAAACTATAAAGGAAAAAAAGTAAATCCCCAAATATTTACCTTTCTGTTTCTTTGCTGTCTCTAATAGTTCTGGTTTTGAGGTAGCATCATTTTGTTAAAAGCCTGGCCATCAAAATTGGTGACTACCAATAAGGTATAATTTCAGGTGAATCAGATAAAATTCTAAGTGAAAAATAGCTCCCTTAATGGCTTCCTGATAAGTGAAGTTTTGCATTAAAAATTTTAGTTTTTAATTGTTGGGGCTGGAAAGGGCTTTAAAGTTCATCTAACTTACTGTTCCTAAAGCCTGCTACTTAGGAGAATCCCTCAGAAGCTTAAAACAACCATTTTTTGTCCTACCTCCTACCTGCAGAGCCAAAATTATTAGGAGTAGGTTAAAATAAAAAAAGTTCATTTGAATCTGATGCAGCCAAGTTGTATAAGCAGCCAGACCTTGGTTCAAAAACTACTGATTCTGTCCCAAGTCTCTGTAGTGCACAGTTATCCTGTATAATTGTGTATAATGCACAGCACGGGCCCTGATCTGGGCTATAAAACTTCACCTCGATGAGATTCAACAAGAATTAAATAATGGCAAGTGGAAGTAATTTCAGTGGTTTTGAATACAATACTTAGAAGATGCTTTTGAAGATAGGCATGGCCAATGATAATTGTTAAATACTAAAATCAAAGTAATAAGTTATTAGAACATATCCATATTCAGAAAGGTGTGTGGACAGATGTGAGAAAGATAAGGGGTTTCCCATCCAAAAATCTCTTTAGCCAGTTTCTGAGATGTTTTTACTGGAGAGGCAGTGAGGGATCAAAAGGTTCTTTACTTAATTTCTGAAAATTTATTATCTGAATCTCCACATTTAGAAGGTTGTATAGCTTATATCTTGAGACTATACAATAGGGAAACTGACCACTTATAAACTGGTTATCACTCACACATCCTTCCCTGCTTAATGCTTCCATTTATCCCCACTCTTGACCACAATACTGATTGCCAAGTATTACTTTGGACAGTATGATGCAGGTGTGACACGGATGGATTTCAAAATGAAATTTCAGATCTTGAAAAAGATACAGAATTACATTAGGTTGATAAAAATGATAGTAAGAGGTCTGCTGAAATCATGTACAAAGCCGCAAAGTGAGGCCTCTTAATAATTGAATAGAAAATCGCTGAGACCCATAGGATAAGAAGTAATTTTAGTATCAAAAAATTTTTAAATAAGAGTTTAAAAATGGAGAAATAGGAGAAACCTTCAAATAAAATTGTTCTTTTTATGACTACATGGTGATAGCAATTTAAAAGTGAAGGATAATACACTAGTATGTAATTTTTTCAAAAAATCTGAGCTTCTCCAATGAAAACTTGTTCAATCTAAGAAGTATAACACTGTTGTGATTATTGCCTAAATTTTGTTAAATGTACTTTGAAATGAATGTGTTTTCATTCCTTTAAGATAAAACTTGATTGAAATTATTTTTCCCATTGTTTATCAATTAATTTAAAGTAGATTCACTTCAAATAGCCTTTTATAAGCAATTTAGTTTAGTAGAAAGAAAGCTAACTCTAGAGCTAAAAACTACCTAATTGCAATCGACTCTACTGTCTACTAGTTGTCTGCTATTGGGCAGGTTACTTAACATTTTATTATTCCCCTGCAAAAAGGTATAATTATGGTCCCTAGTTTATAGAGTTTATGAGAATTGAGCTAATACATGTAAATCACTTAGGACAATGTTTGGCACATAGTAAACTTTCAAAAGAGCTATTTTTTGGCATATTAATTTTTTTCAGATATAGACAATTAAATTACTGTTATCTTTGTTTTCAGTTTTTCTGAGCTCAGTTTTTGAGAAGTCTGAGCCCTGAAGAGCTTCCTTTTCAGCTTTCAAAATCAGTATAAAACAAAAAGGCTAGAAATTAAATGGTAGAAGTGAAAAAAAAAGTTCTCAAAGTCTGTGATAAAATGATAAACTATAAATGAACTTTTATTTTCATCTCTGAAAAAAATCAGGAGTTTCCTATGTTTATTTCTTAAAATATGGGTATCTTAAATTATTTTTAATGTTCTCAGGCACATATCTGGCTCTGACCTCTTTCTCAGTGCAAGTTACATCTATAACCATTATTGTGACTGCAAGGATCAACATTATTACCTTTCTGGGGACAAAATCAATGACGTCATCTGCCTTCCAGTGGAAAGAGTACTTCGTGTTACACCAGTATTGGCCTGCCAGGACAGAGTACTCAGAGTTTTACAGGTTTCTGTTATTTGCATTTTTATAGTTTTTTGTAATGTAAATATTGATGAGAAATGTTTAGGTAAATATTGACAAACAATGTTTACTTGAGACAAATTACTTAGTGATTACTACCACTTTAAATGTCCTACTTAAAATTACTCATGGGAAAAATTATTTAATATTTTAATTGATAAACTTTTATTTTTTTACTTGAGGCAGATGAGATCTTTGGCAAGTTTTTAGAGAGGCACATACAGATACTTTCCCCATTCATAATTCTGAACTAGTACAATTGGAATGGAGTGTCTTTGTTACAGAGAGCCCTTTCCAGCTTTTTTTAAAAGTCTTCCTCTGTCACCCTCCTTTCTCCCAAAAAATCAAATTACAAGAGGAAATTGCACTGAGGAGAGAGTATTAAGCTTTAACAAGGCATAGTTGAGGTCTAGATTGTATCATTTGCCTTTATCCAGCATTTATGGTAATATGAGGAATAGAACAAGCACTCATGTAAGTAAATAAGTAAAAGTTTGTTGGATAAGTGAATGATAGAGGGAAAATCATTTTATTGCCCTTATATTTCTATTAAAAACCATGATAGGCTAAAACAACTGCTTAAGGCCATTGTTATTAGTAATAATAGTTACAACTATGTCTTCTTGAAAGTGACTTTCAAGAAAATACTCAAAAGACACACACACATACCAGGACCCATAAGATAAAAGTTTAAATAACATATAACAGGTGGATTAATTGGACCAGAAATATAGGCTGATGAGAGTGCAACTGAACAAAAAAATTTAGCTGTTTATTCTGTGCCACTGCAGGCTATTTCAACTCTTCGGAATTTCATATCTAGATGACCATTTCTTGGCATCAGCCCTTTTATAGAAGTAAAAATCCAGTGGTTCTATGAAGTCTTTTCCTCCTATGCTGAATTCTAAAGGCATGAATGATCACTTTCTCCCCTACCCTGTGTATACTTATTCAAATATGAGTTGTTTGAATAAGGCTTTTAACAGGAGCTGGCTTAGTCATTGTGAAATTGATCTGGCTGAATTCTAGGATTCTGCTTTGTTTAATAAAAAGAGATCCATATGCTTATTACAGAAAAAACAAAAAAACAACAAGGATTTATGGAAGTGAAAAACTGACATCTTTCTTCTGCCTTACATATCTCTTCCTGAGTCCCCATCTGCCTTTGTAGACAATCCATTCACCCAGATGTAGCCTTTTTTTTACACAGCTTTGTGTGTATTCTTTTGTGTTTATGTAGTTATATGTAGATATCTGTGAATTTTTAAATGTTATTTTAAGTAAAAGATAAAGCATATGGCTCTTTTATATAATAGTATACCATATTCACTATCATTTTGCAAATTTTTTTCATTGAATAAATTCATCATAGATATTTTTCAATGTGTTAAGTAGTTCTGCCTCTTGCTGGAGTAGGCTTTAGAAATACCCAAAGGCAAGGCCAAAATTTTCCTTGGGAAGTATCTTTGAGTCTGTTTAAGTGTTTGAATGTGCTCCAAGTGAAAACCCTCCAACTAGAGCAAACATAGGAAACAACTTGCTCCTAAAAGTTTTGAAAGGAAAATTTACCAGTGTCAAGTTTTCAGGCAAAGTATTTAAAATGAAAAGTATTTAAAATATAGAATATTTTAAATATTTCTCTCCTTAGTCTTCCCATTTTGCATTTATTTTATTTTAAAATGAGTTAACCTATGCAAAATTGCTAATGAATGCAAGTTAATATTAACCAGATTTTTTTCAGCACTTTTATTCTAGAGTTCTTACATGAATATTGTTATCTATGAGTGCCTATACTATTTTAAACTTGTATTCTGTTTTAGTTTTAAAATACTTGTTCTCCTTCAGGGATCTGATGTGATATATGAAATTGAAGTTCCTGGCCCACCTACTGTTTTACAACTGCACAATGGAAATGGCGGTAATAGGATTTCATTTTTCATGATCAAATAAGGGAGTGCAGTATGTTGTTTAAGCCTAGATTTTTCAGGTTTTTAATCATTTAACCATATGTTAAGTGGAGATGGGACATTGAAAAAGAACATGAACTCTAATTGAGACAGTGGTCTTCTGACAACTTGCCAGTAATTACAATAATGAGCTATTTTTGAACTTTGTGGTTTCCTCTTCTTAAAATTAGATGATGAGGAAGGATCTTATCTCTTACAGTTATAAAATTTTGTGACTCTATAACCATCCTCCCAAATGAAGTTTTATGTCTTTTTATAACTTTTAAGTAAGATTTTTTACATGAAAGTAAATTAACATGAACATATTAAAATGATAAAGAAATATGAGTTGTGAGATAATATGCTGATTTTAATTATAACTAGGTGACTCTGGAGAAGACCTTTTGTTTGGAACATCAGATGGAAAACTTGGACTTGTTCAGATTACTACATCCAAACCAATACACAAGTGGGAAATTCGAAATGAGAAAAAGAGGGGAGGTATGTTTTTGATGTAGTTCAGATTGTGAAATTTCAGTGTTTATTAAATAAAATATCCAAAGTTTTTAGTTTATTCTATTTTACTTGTTCATAGTGTATAGCAGACTTTAAATTCACAGAGCCACCTCAAATTTGTTTACTATTTGTTTATGTACCAGGTCTATCATACTTTTGGCATAATTTTTAAAAGTAAGAAATGCTAATAGTAAATTAGGGCTGACAGGCTTTTATGGGCTAATATCCATCTATAATATAATTCTGTGCTCAAATCTATTTTCCATTATTTGATATAGAGAATTAATTGGAATTTGGGAGTACTTGGTGTGAGGCAAGGAAGAAGTACAGTGGGTTAAAGAATATCCCTATTTTCTAAGGAATCTATACATTTCTAAGGGGAATATTTATCTGACTTGGTGTGTAGTGAGGTGGCTATTTATAGGTACAGCATGTTTATTCATCTATTCATTTATGCTTTCACAAATACTTATTTGTTAGGGGAGACAGAGGATAAACAAATGAATAAATAGGGTCCTTCAACTAGTCACCTAAAGAAAAATATAATAGGGTAATGTGTTAGAGAGTCATGGGTAGAAGGGGGAGGGTTACTTTTAGATTGGATGGTCGTGAAAGTTGTATAAGAAGTGAGCTGAGATCTGAACTGATAAGAAAAGGAGTTAATAAAAGATCTTGGGGGAAAGAATGTCCCATGGAGAGGAAGAAATAAGATAAGGGAGAGGACTTGAGGTAGAGGTAAACTGGATTCATTTGAGAAGCAGTGGGAAGACCAGTGTAGCTAAATTCATTAATACGGCATGAGAAGAAGTCAGAGAGATAGGGTAGGGCAAAATTGTGTAGGTCCTTAGGAGCCTTGGAAAGGGATTTGAATTTTAATCTAAATGCAGTGAGAAGTCATTGGAGAATTGTAAGTAGGAGTATGACATGATCTGATTTAACAAAACAAAACAGTGCATGGAGAATGGATTTTGGGAGCAACAAGTCAAAATTGGTGGTATGGAGATGAGTTAGGAAGTCATTGTTATGGTTCTTAGAATTTATCATAACAAGAACATTGTTCTAGGTCTTAGAATTTACTGTAAAGATACTAGCAGACTGGACTAGGTTATTGGTGGTTGGAAATGGAAAGGAGACACATATTTTGGAGATAGAGCTGATAGAATTTGCTAATGGGTTAATCAGAGATGCAGTCTAGATTTTTGACCAAAGCAAATGGGTGGTATCACTGAAATGAGGGGTGACTGAGGAAGGAGCATTATTGATGGGGTGTGATAAAGAAGAGAATAAAGACTTTTGTTTGAGGCATGGAAAGTTTGAGATGCAAATGGATGTCTCAGAGGAGATGCTGAGTAGGAACTTGGATAAATGAGTCTAGAGCTCTAGGGAGAGGCCAAAACTGGAGATAAAAACATAGGGGCCATTGCCATATAGATTATATTTAAAGCGTTGGAAATGGATGAATGTGGATGGAAAAAGAGAAGGACACCTGATTCCACTCAAAGTTTTCATGTTTGTCCATTCTGATTTGATATACATATGTTTTTTCATTCTTACTTGGTATGTACTTGGCTATAATATCAATTTTATTAGTAACTTTCACTTATATCTTCTTTAAAGGTATTTTATGTGTGGACAGCTTTGACATTGTGGGTGATGGGGTTAAAGATTTACTTGTTGGGAGAGATGATGGAATGGTGGAAGTGTATAGTTTTGATAATGCAAATGAGCCTGTTCTACGATTTGATCAGGTAAGTTCATTAAAAAAAGACTATATATACTTATTTTTCATCAAATAATTATAGATATGAGTGTGATGGTTTGGGGTTTTATTAAATGAAATATTAAAGTCTTGGGTTTGACTTAAAAAATTGCTGCTCTGATGTTATCAAATCTTCTTCAGACTACTTACTCTTATGTCTGAATAATGGACTGTTGCTTTCCAGTGGAATAAATATTACTTCTTTATTGGTTCCTAAATATTGCAGATATAAACTATTAAATATTTTGCCTTAGTTTATATAATACATAATAGATTACAGGAGTAACATTTATATGCTTGGGTAACAAATGAGATTGTATTGTTTTAAAGTAGTAAGATTTTAGGAATAAACTTCGTATTGTTAAGACAATACCAAAATTATCCTTAAGCCAAGAGAGAAAAGTAGCAATTTCACTTCTTGCCACCTAAGAAGAAATACTAGATAAGAGTAATTTTTAGTTAACAGATTTTAAATGTAATCAAGCTTGTTTATCTCAAGGTACAAAGTCACATGGAGAAGTATTCTGGAATAAAATGAATCTTTCATTTTCATGAAGTTGTGTTCTCCAGTCCAGGGTTTTCCCACCCTGCCTGCTGCATTGAAGCTGTAAAAAAAAAGCCACAAAATATCAACTTTTCTTTGTCTAATTTCTCTAATAGTGGTACCTCCCAGTCCCAGCATTAACTCCTGATCAGCAAATAGAGATGTTTTCTTGCATAGATAATAAATATTATGTAGATAATATGTGAATAAAAACATTAGATGACTTATTATCTAGATTTATTTCGTATTTGTTCTTACTTTGGTATAAAAAGTCATCTTGCTAATGATGCAAACAATAGGCTTAAAAATATATATAATCCTTCGTTAATGATCTCCTGTTTTTTTCTCATCATCTTTCCTATTTAGACCCAAATCTTCTCTTTTAATTCTATTCCAAACCCCAGTAATAACATAACATTTTCCTCTTTTGCAAGGTGTGGCATTAAGAAATTCTGTCTTCCTTCTCTTTCATCTGTTTTGTCAGATGACTGAAGTATTGCTTTATAGTCAAGTTAAGGTTGCAAATACGCTGCCTCATCTTAGATTCCGGATGTCACTGTCTCTGTTGTTTTCCTAAGCAAGAGAAATCCTCTGATCTGACACAGTCTGGATTGTCAGATGTTGTAACGTTAAAAAAACATTTTTGATGGTGGATCAGTTGGTGATTTTATGTATATAACTTAGAAAACATTTTAATAGTTCAGTGAAGTTTCTACAATAAAATTTCTTTTATTCTCATCAACATCTTTGGTTATTAAGGTTGATTAGTGCTCCTATCTATAAAAATGGAAAAATTAGGAATTGAACTGATGTTCAACTGAGTGTTACTCTAGCAATATATAAATAATATTCATTTGTGGTACAAGAATAATTTAGAAGAAAAAAGTTCCATTCATATCACCAGATACATTTCCTGTAGAATTTGCTTTTGTGATGATTTACTAAAACTTACATATTTGTCTTGATCAATTGTGTAATACCAGTAACTGTAATGATAGAAACTCCTCTAATGCTTAGATCTTTATGATCGCTGAAAAATTTCAATTGATCTTTTCTTGGTTGCATAAAAGAATTTAAGCATATGAGTACATTACATTAAGATAAATGTATGTGGGAGGAGTGGAATGAAAATAAACATTCAAGGAAAAAAAGGAACAATGATAAATTTCCCACTGTTATAGGATTTGTTTTCCCATTTTTTAGGTCAATGATTGTGTGTATACATTTGTACTGGTATTTAGATTCATTGGGTATGATTATATGATGTGACAGTTTTATTCTAAAATGATAATCTTTAAAACTTCCAGAAATTACATGCTTTTTAACTATTTAAAGTTGTGTTGGAAAATCTAAAAGTCAGCTTAAAAATGTACAGGGGGGATGCATAGTTTTTTTTCCAGAATTACTGTAGTGGGAACTTTAAGAAAAAAAGTCTGAAACTTCTAATGAATGTCAGATCCCCTGGGACACTTACTAAAAATGCACCTGTGAACCTAACTATATGCAAACTTATAATTGACTTGGGTTACTGAATCTCTCAGGTAATTAGCCTCAGGGACAGCTGAAACAGCCTGATTGCAGAATAGCTCAGGAGATTTTTCTTCTTCAGGGAGGGTGAAGAGAACTGGCATTTTTAATGCATCCATTCCTTCCACTTTCTCTATTAAAACAATGGTTCTCAGCCTTGGCTGATAAGAGTTACATAGCAGAGTTTTTCAGACTACCAATCAAAACCAATGCATTTTCTTAAATGAAATATAATAGATTAGAACATGTCAGAGTGTGACACAAACCTTTTATCTGTTGCTGTTCATGAATGTATACCAGTTTGCAATATAAAATTTATTCCTTGCTTTCCAAATAGCTTGAAAGCGACTGACCTAGAGTGCTTATTTAAAATAGATTTCTAGTTGACTCACTCAAGTGGTTATTGTCAGACAAATTTGGGAAGTATTGTTTAAAAGAGATAAAAACCCTGAACCCATCTGAAAAACTTGGTTTCTCTCCATAGTAGTAAATTCCCTAAAGGTTCCTTATAGTCTATCATCTTATCTGTTCATCTAAGAAAACTATTTGGAGAAAACACATGAGAGGTGGTATATGAAATTCAGATAATACATTAAATATATTGAGAGTTTTACTTACATATTTTTTTTGAACTTTATATAAACAAACTATTTTTGCTCATTAGACGACTGCTGTGGCTGAGTGATACACACAAATATATGAGTCATTTTCAATCTTCTTTCCCTGAATTTAAAAACTGGAATTTTCTGCTATTTGTTCAGGATTTTTATCTTTCTGGTCTCAGTGCTTGGACATAATAAGTATTTAATAAATATATGTTGAATATCTGGAGACAGGAAAATAAATTTTGCAACTTATTTTAATATTTCTGTGAAATTTTTAGCTATTAATGAAGTGCTTGATCCTAAATTTATTTTAGATGTTGTCTGAAAGTGTCACATCTATCCAGGGTGGTTGTGTAGGGAAGGATGGCTATGATGAAATCGTGGTATCCACATATTCAGGTAAGGTAAATGGTAATACATAGTTAATAAACAGTTGGAGAAAGACCAATAATAAAAAATAATAATTTAATTAAGTACCTTTGAAGACTACTTTTTAAAAAAAGTTTATTAGTAAGTTACCCTGTAACATTAAAAGCTTTGTTGATTAAAAAATAAGGAGGGAAGGAGTGGGAATTATAAAACAGTTAATATTTGTACAATATTTTTTAAGAGTGATTAGCATGTCTCTAGTATCTTTGAGAATTAAATGATATTCTATGGATTATAAAGAAATATTTACTGAAATTTATGTTTTATTACCATGTACATTTCTTACAGAAACTTGCCTGCTTTTGAGTTGGTCGTTTTTGCATTCTCAAAATAGTCATACAAGAGGATAACTTGCCGTGAAAATAATTTTTGAAAGACAATTCTTATTCATTAGCTGTTTTTTCATTTGTTCAAATGTATTGACCTCATGTTTAAAAACTAAAACTGTAAATTAAGAAGTGAAAGATTTCTTTAATCATAGTATTATAGTTTTTGAGGAAAAACAAAAACAGTATCACAAAATGCTTAAGTAATTTATGATTTGCTTATTTCCTAGCTTGATTTCTTTTGCTTTCTGCTTTGTGTTGTTTTGTTTTTTAAAGAGGAATAAGTCCTACGACTAAGTGAGGTTGGTGGACAAAGGGGCATGTATATTGGGATTTTTTTGAAGACTAACAGCACTTAGTTATGCATGATTGTAATTCATCTCTACAGGCTGGGTTACAGGTCTGACAACAGAGCCTATATATAAGGAAAGTGGACCAGGAGAAGAACTAAAAATTAATCAGGAGATGCAGAATAAGATTTCTTCTTTACGGTAATTTTGGATTTGTTGTTTGCCTTTTTTTTCATTTCATGAAGTGTGTGGTTTTTATTATAAATATTTTATTATAAGGAATTATGCAATTAATCACCTCTAAAATGAAAGTTTGTGAGTTTAAGATAATTAGCATTAAGTGCTGATTAATATTTTATTTAAAGTTTGAAATATACTTTTTGTGTGCTTTATTCTATATTGACTTTCTTAATTCAAGAATTCTATTTTTTCATTTGTGTAGTTAGAGATTAGTGTTCTGTTTCTTTTTCACAAACATCAGAAAGAAACCAACACAAATGGCTCTATTCCTCATTAATTCTAATGTTTACTGTTCCTGTGGACCCTTCTGAATCTGTAACTTTGGCTTATAAGTTTTCTTACTAAAAATTGATAATGTTAACTTCCTTAGACATAGTGATAGCTTTTGTGGCCTGTTCAGTGTGACAAATCCTGTGAAAAGGGACCCCAGCCTCAAGTAAAATTCCTTCATACAGTGAAAAAGTGGGAGTTGCTTGAAACTTTTAATGATTGCTCTCCCTACTTCAATCCTTGCCAACCTCTTGGGAGAGTGAGGGCCATTCTTTTTTGGTGACAGATGAGGGCCATAGAATTTTTTTCTTAATTAAGGTATCATTGATATACAATCTTACAAAGGTTTCACATGAGCATCTGTAGTTACAACATTCACCCATTTTATCCAGTTCCCCCTCCACCCCATTGCAATAACTCCATCAGCATAGTAAGATGCTATAGAGTCATTACTTGTCTTCTCTGTCCTATACAGCCTTCCCCTGCCTATATTGTGTGTGTTAATTATAATGCCCCTTAATCCCCTTCTCCCTCCCTACCCACCCTCCCCAGCCCCTTCCCTTTGGTAAACACTAGTGCCTTATTGGAGTGTGTGAGTCTGCTGCTGTTTTGTTCCTTCAGTTTTGCTTTTAGGTTATACTCCACAAATGAGTGAAATCATTTGGTACTTGTCTTTCTCCACCTGGCTTATTTCACTGAGCATAATACTCTCTAGCTCCATCCATGTTGTTGCAAATGGTAGGATTTGTTTTCTTTCTATGGCTGAATAATACTCCATTGTGTATATGTACCATATCTTCTTTATCCATTCATCTACTGATGGACACTTAGATTGCTTGCATATCTTGGCTATTGTAAATAGTGCTATAAATAGCATATTGTAAAGACATATGCTATTTTAAAGGGTGCATATGTCTTTTTGAATCAGGGATCTTGTTTTCTTCGGGTAAATTCCTAGGTCAAATTATATCTCTGTTTTTAGCTCTTTGAGGAAACTCCATATTGCTTTCCACAATGGTTGAACTAATTTACATTCCCACCAGCAGTGTAGGAGGGTTCCCCTTTCTCCACATCCTCACCAGCATTTGTTGTTTCTTGTCTGTTGGATGTTGGCCAACCTAATTGGTATGAGGTCAAGTCTCATTTTGGTTTTAATTTGCATTTCCATGATAATTAGCTATGTGGTGCATCTTTTCATGTGCCTGTTGGCCATCTGAATTTCTTCTTTGGAGAAGTGTCTGTTCAGATCTTCTGCCCATTTTTAATCAGTTTATTTGTTTTTTGGGTGTTGAGGTATATGAGCTTTTTATATATTTTGGATGTTAACGAGGGCCACAGAATTTTTTAAGGCAGCAAAATGTTTCTTCACAAGCCCACCACAGGTCAGTTCCCCAAAGCTACCTGGAGAACAATCTCTAATATTCATGCAACAAGGATGCCAAGTAGAGTTAATGACTGCTATCTCACATCCTCAGTACAATACCTTATACTTGTAACAAAGTCTACCCCTTTCTCATTCCACTGGAATATAAGGCCATGAGAAGCTTCAGTCTGTTTTGCCATTCAGCACCTGGAACATAAGTACATATGAGACACCTGTAAATACTTCTGGAATAAATGAATCTTTTCCTTTGCTTATTACACAGATTACTCTCTAGACTTTTCCCTCTAAGTTGGGTCTAGCTAAGCCTCATGTTGTTCTGCCTCAGGTACTATTTGCTTCATTTGCATATACCCTTTCCCCTTACCTGGAGTGACTCTAAGCAATGCCTGTATAGTTCAATCTCAGTAGAATCCTCTCCAACACTTGTACCAGTGGCTCATGATCACCTTTATGGTCCCCAAAATGTTAATACTCTGCAGCCTTCTTCTTATTTTTTCTATCTCCTCTAATATCTTACTGAAAGGTACATGTTTACTGCCTTCACATGTTTTGTTCCTTCTCATAAAACCTTGTGTTAAACTTTCCCTGCCCCAGTATAATCAGTTTCTCTTCTGATATGAAACTGTAACCAGATCCATAGATTATTTGCAACCAGCCTTCATACTTACAATTCTTTATTAATATTACTGGTATGGAACTGAGTAGATGTTTTAATTTTTAGGTTGGAAATAAATAATGTGGAATCATTTGGTCAGTCATGGAAGCAAAAATTTTGCTCCTGTTAGTGGTATAGTTCTAGTCCACCCAGTAAACTCCATTTTGCAGAAGTAAATATCTCAAATTTTTATAAACAATACAAGGACTTCAAATGTTTATACTTACAGGTGACAGAATTGTTTATATTTTCCTCTAGGAATGAGTTAGAACATTTGCAGTATAAGGTACTACAGGAGCGAGAGAAATATCAACAGTCTTCTCAATCAAGCAAAGCAAAATCAGCAGTACCTTCATTTAGTGTAAACGACAAGTTCACATTAAATAAAGATGATGCCAGCTACAGTCTTATCTTAGAGGTTCAAACAGCAATAGATAATGTCTTAATACAGGTAAGCAGAATGTCTAATTCCTTTGTTTTATGGCTGTATTTTTTGCAAACCAGTCATATGCACTAATTATTACTGAACACTTTTAGTTTCAGACAGTAATTTTAAATGTCCTTTAAATGTTATATTTAGATAGTAATTAAAGGTTTATCTTAATCTTCCATTAGATAGTTCACTCATAGATTATCTAATTATATCTTTGCTTTCTTTTAATCTTATACATATTAAATAAAAGACTGATGGACTTATGTTTCAAAAAGTCAGAGAGGACATTGAGGACAAGAAAGGCTAACCTTTCTTACTTAACATAGATGCGACTTAGAAAACTGCACCATTTAATGGCCTTATTAGAACTTTTTGTTAAGTTCCAAAAACTACAATGTAACTTAAAGTACAGCTTGCTCATTAGCCACCAGTTTCTAGGTAAGTAAGTAGGCAAAGCATGTAATCCCAAAGGATAAAATCAAGGCCATAATAATGTATAACTCCATTCATCAAAATATTTGATTATTTTTCTTTAAATTGGAAGATATTCAGGAATTGAAAAGGGAAGGTAGTAGGACAAATGGAAAAAAAAGGAAAAGATGGAAAACCCATCAGAAAATGAAAAAACAATACTGATGAGGAAGAGGACAAGGTTTAAAAAGATATGAGGGAGAGATCAAATTGTTAAAATTTAAAGGCAGAACTCTCTCTTAAGTAATGCCAGCCAGCTCAAAGACTGCTGCATCAAATAACTATAGGAGCACCATTCATACAGAACACAATGTGGCAGCACTGTCCTAGAAATGTCTCCAAAGGGGACTAAAAATCATCTTTCTGTGTTACAGGTGAAATTAAAATAGATAAAAAATGAATGGATGTAATCAGAATGGCCATATGATTATTTGCATCCTGTGGTAACATTTTTAGCACTGACAAAAATAGGAAGGTGATACTTTTAAAGGGGTGGTAGAAGATAATATTCTATGATCTCTGGTAATCCAAACTAGAAAAAAAGGTCATTGTGATATAGCCTTTATTCTTTGTTATATTTATTTTCTAGAAGTACATATTATCAAATATAAGTTAAGAGGATTCATACTCTCAAATTAAAAATGAACATAAACTATAAAGAGAACCTTTAGAAAAGTATTTTGTGAAAATGTTTAGTTTTCCATCTGAACCTTTATTTTTTTGATATTGACCATAGAGTGATGTTCCAATAGATTTGCTTGATGTGGATAAAAATTCTGCTGTTGTCAGCTTTAGCAGCTGTGATTCTGAGGTGAGTAAAAAATATAAAAAATTCTTCAAATGCTTTCATTTCTGTTATGTCATTTTGAATAAACCCTATAAATATTACTAGGGTTTTAAGTTCCTTCAGTCTTCCCTTTCATAAGCTTTTCCTCAAAGGCTGCTTCTGCTTTCTTTTTCCTCAAATAATCCAGTACTAAGAGTTCTTCCTTTCTCTGATCTGTTAAATCTAGTCAGTCACTAGTTTCTGCCAGTTCTTCACTCCTGGCTCCTAATCCTTTACTCTACTTCATTTTCACTTCTCTTAACTTTCAAAGCCTTCATCTTGCTTGCTTGAACTACTTGTCTACCAGTTTCTCTGCCTCCAGTATTCTCTCACCTCCAGTATTCTCTCTGCCTCCAGTATTCTCCCACCTCCAGGCTATGCTGTGCACTGCCACCTGACAGATTTTCCTGAAATAAAAGCATCACTATGTCATTTCTTTTCTCAAAACCTTTAAAGATTATTTCCTGCTGCATGTAAGTCTAGATTCCTCATTTTGGCATAAAAACTTTACATGTTTCAGATCTTGATTACATCTCCAATGTATTTCTCACCAGCTGCTACCTTCCCTCCCATGTACATTATTTCTGCCAAACTGAAGTTACAAAAATTTCTTGAAGATGCTATTGCTTTTCACACATTCCTACATTTGAACACATTTAATCTGTTCTTTCTTCCTGCCCTTCCTCACTTTTTTGGGCTTCTTGAATCTTACTTAACCTTCATTCAGCAGATATTTACTGAGCACTTACTATGTGCAAAGTACCTGGGAATAGATTGTGTCAGAGCTTTTGAACATGCTTAGTATATCATTTCTTTCTGCTTAGTACTAGCAGACTAGCAATATCAGAGTTTGTTGTGGCTCCTGAAGAGAAATTAGGGTAAAGATAAGGTCTGGAGTAAACTGCCTTGGAGAAGGCAAGCCAGAGCAGGACATGCAATATCATGTCATCTGCAAACAGTGACAGTTTGACTTCTTCCTTACCAATCTGGATGCCTTTTATTTCTTTGTGTTGTCTGATTGCTGGGGGCTAGGACTTCCAGTACTTATGTTGAATAACAGTGGGGAGAGTGGGCATCCCTGTCTTGTTCCCGATCTTAGAGGAAAAGGCTTTCAGCTTCTCACTGTTAAGTATGGTGTTGGCTGTGGGTTTGTCGTATATGGCCTCTATTATGTTGAGGTACTTGCCCTCTATACCCATTTGTTGAGAATTTTTATCATGAATGGATGTTGAATTTTGTTGAATGCTTTTTCAGCATCTATGGAGATGATTATAAGGTTTTTGTCCTCCCCTTTGTTGATGTGGTGGATGATGTTGATGAATTTTCGAATGTTGTACCATCCTTGCATCCCTGGGATGAATCCCACTTGGTCATGGTGTATGATCCTCTTGATATATTTTTGAATTCAGTTTGCTAATATTTTGTTGAGTATTTTTGCATCTGTGTTTGTCAGGGATATTGGTCTGTAGTTTTCTTTTTTTGTGGTGTCTTTGCCTTGTTTTGGTATTAGAGTGATGCTGGCTTCATAGAATAAGTTTGGAAGTATTCCCTCCTCCTCTATTTTTTGGAAAACTTTAAGGAGAATGGGTATTATGTCTTCTCTAAATGTCTGATAAAATTCAGTGGCAAATCCCTCTGGTCCTGGCGATTTGTTCTTGGGTAGTTTTTTGAGTAACCTCCAATTTAATTCCACAAACATATATTGAATGCCTGCAGTATGCAAGGCACTGTGCTGTTTACTGGGATTACAATGATGATACATTTCTCAGTCCTCTATAAGTATTTGTGAAAATCAGGGATATTCAACATCAAACATTGATGTTTTTGTCTTTATAATATAAACATTAGACATCTGCATTGTCAGTTAAATTTTTAGAAGAACAATTAAGTGTTATTAGAGAGACTCTAGATGGAAAGAACATGAGCTTAGAGTCTTAAAGATATGAATTAGAATTCCAATTTCATTGCTTACTAGCTTGTGGGAAATTTATCTAATCCTCATGCCTCAGTTTCTTCATCTCTTACAATTTACTTAGTAAAACTTACTGCACAGGGTTATTTGTAGGAATAAGAAAAATCTTATTTTTTATGCAGTTTTTATTGTTAAAAACATGGATTCATCTTTTTCCTCAACTTTAAATTCTTTCCAGTCAAATGACAACTTTCTTCTCGCCACTTATCGGTGCCAGGCAAATACCACAAGGCTGGAACTCAAGGTAAAATGTTTGAAATTACCATTACTTGAAAGTTTGAACTTCCTTTTTTCCTTGGTATGTCTTACAATATATGATATCATTTCTTTGCATTAAATTTCTTCCTGAAGTGAGTCATTTTGGAGTCATGACTTTTGAATGACCTATTAGATTTTAATTCAGTCCAAACCTCTGTCTCTGTTATTGGCACTTTACCAATCAACTGTACAATTACCAATCCTAAATTTCCTCTAACTAGAATTTTTTTTCCTAATTTTCTATTATGGAAAGTTTCATACTTGTGAAAGTAATGACTGCAGCTTCAGCAAAGATCAGCTCATGGAAATCTTGTTTATAACGTCACTGTGCATTCCAAATTATTTTGAGACAAATATATTTTATAATTTAATTTGTAAATATTTCAGTACATGTGTCTAAAATATAGGAATTCTTTTTTTAAACATAACTATAATATTAGCACACCTAAGAAAAATTAACAATAATTCCTTGATGTCATCATGTATTTAGTGTTTGATTTCATTGATTTTTCTTAAGTGTCTTTGATCCAGTCAGTGTCCAAATAAAGTAATTTGCTTATAAAGTACCTGAGCATTTGCCCTATGTTTTCCTACTATCTGAATTTTTCTTACTGTGTTCTAGTGATGTCACTTATTACCATCTATTCTAGAGAAAACCTTTTAATGTTTTCTTTAGCAGTTTTATTAACATCTTCATTTTTACAATTAAATACTAACTATAGCACACAACTATCTAATTTGTAGTATATAGATTTTTAAAAATATGTTTGACACATTGATGATCTAAAATTAAGGACTGTAAATTTTTTCCTGGTGTTGCTGATGCTCTGAGATTCAAAGTATATTTTTTTCAAGAATGCTGTTACACAATAATTTTCTCACATTGGTTAAGGAAGTCCCAGTTAAATGTAATTTTTTCTCTGAGCAATTTATTTTAGTATGCTAAAAACCCTTTTAATGTGTTTTGAAAGAAAAATTAAAAACTGGGATAAACTGATCTCTGAAGGAATATACATAAGCATATTTTATGGTAACCTAATTAAATATTTTAAATTATATTTTTATTGCTCAAGATTGTGCCAATAAAGTAGGAAGTAGGCCTAAAAAATATTAAAAAGTTATGTTCTTTTTAATTGGGTACAATAATTTTAAACTTCTGAGGAAAGTATGAATATCTGAAAAGAGCCAAAAAAAAACTATGAAAAAGAAGAAAAGGTGGAACTTATTTTGCCATATAGCAAAACAAACTAGTATAATAAAAATAATATAGGGTATTTACAAGGGCTACAAAAAAGGCCATGCAACAAAATAATCTAGGAATGGAGAGGCCAGCACACATTTATGGAAACTTAGTGCATGACATTTTTATGTAGTGAAAATTCTATTCAATTACTGTTTCTTGAAAAATTGGTGTTGGCACAGCTGGTATCCATATGGAAGAAAATTGAGTGGATTTTTATCTTATGCCATATATAAATAAATTCAGATGAATGAAGTACCTAGTTATTTAAAGAAAGAAGGAAATCTAGTTGGGTGAATATTAATAAAATAAAAAGACTGCCTATAAGTTGTTATAAAGACTGTTCAATAAGGAAAATAGGCAAAGGTTACGGATAGGCAGTTCACAGAAGAGGGAATCAAAATAGCTAACAAATATTAAAGGAAAATGTTCTACCTCATTATTAGTTAGGGAAACCCAAATTAAATTAAAATTAAGAAAAAAGTTTCTGCTTGCCCAACAGATAGGCAAAAAAATTTAAAGAGCAATATCACCAAATGGCAGTGATAAGGAAAAGGATGGGTGTTAGAAATAAAAACAAAGATGTCAATGATATAAATAGAATTTATTTATGTGAAATTATGCATTTGTTTTTGTATTTCTGCATAAGAGATACATAAAAAGATGACCTCCAAAATAGCAGGTCTGATCATCTCTGGGTGGTAGAACTTCAGGTGACTTGTGTATTCATCCTAATTTTTCTTTACTGTTTGAATTTTTTAATAATGAATATGAATTGTTATGTAATTAGAAAAAACATTTTGACTTTTTAGTGTGGAAAAAACTATGTTCCAATATGAAACCCTAAAGTATAAGTTTATCAGATATATTTAAAATTTTTCTTTCTGTATTTTTATTCTTTATGTTTTTCTCTATGTTCTCCTCTCATTCAGAGCAATATTTATGGAGTGAAATTTTTAAAAAATCTTGCTTTAAACTTTTATTTATGTCTCCCATTTAGGTAAACCATTGATTTTTTTTTCCCCCCCTCACATGCCCGGAAAAGTGTGAGTTAAAATGTCACTTAAATTAGGAACGCTAACCTTCATAATGCAAGAAGTACTACAGTCCATCCCATGAATTCCAACAGAGTCTCTGAAAGGGGGCTAGACAGGAGAAGCTGGATAGCTTTCCAGCTCTTCTAAAATTAGGTCTTCACACTTTAATGAATTATTACTTTCTGTTAAGTGTTTTGAATTCTGGTAGGATATCTAACCAGCTGTATTCAAGGTAGCTCAGAAGAATTTTCTAATTCAAATATGTCATAATTATGTTGAGTATGCTTCTCTGTTTTCATAGAAAGTCAAGAAATAGGTTCTTGGAAACATTTTTTCTATCGATAGATTTTTATAACAACAGCTCTATGCTATAACATCCCCATTTCTGAGAAAATGAATTATTCCATATAAGTTTCAGTTATTCAGATATCCCTTCAACAAAAATGTCTAAATTTTAACCATTTTTGATGTGACTCTTATAAAATATATTACACACCTGTGTTTTTAGGTGTGATAGGGTAGTATATGAGAATGTGTATTTTTTGGAAAGGCATAGCATTGCTAATGGTAAATATAAATCACCTAAGAATATGTGGTTAGGAAAACTTTTATAGATGGATTAATTTTGCTTTTGACTGCTAGTTCTTTTTTTCTTATTGAAGTATCATTGATATACAATCTTATATCTGTTTCTATGTGACTTTGGATAAATAATTTAATCTCTCTGGGTTTTAGTTTTTGCATCTGCAAATGAGAGGGTTGGTCTGGATAAATAATTTAATCTCTCTGGGTTTTAGTTTTTGCATCTGCAAATGAGAGGGTTGGTCTGGATAATCTCTAAAGTCCCTTCTAATTCTTAAGTTCCTTTCAGATATGCAACACAGTGGTTCAACAGTCACCCATATTACTAAATCCTCACCCCCACTGGTGCAGTTACTATCTGTCAACATAGGAAGATGTTACAGAATTATTGGCTGTATTCTCCATGCTGTCCTACCATCCTGTGACCAACTTGTATTATGATTGAGAATTTTTGTGCCCGTTTATCCCCCTCACCCTTGCCACCCACCTACCCCAGTTCCTCCCCTTCCCCATGGTAACCACCCATCATTTCTCAGTCTGTGTTGACTGTCAAAATATTTTTAAATTTTTGTTTACTCTGGTGGTAAAAAGTAATTGATAGAATATCATTATTTCCTTCAAAACATTACAGAAGTGATTAAGGCCTAAGTACTTGATTACTTGTGTTGAACATTTTAGAGATAACACTTATGTTGCTAGATTATTCTTATTTTCTTTTCTCTTGTGTTGAATCAGATTCGCTCAATCGAAGGCCAGTATGGCACACTTCAAGCATATGTAACTCCGAGGATTCAACCCAAAACCTGTCAGGTCCACCAGTACCTTATCAAACCCCTTTCACTCCATCAAAGAACTCACTATATTGATCATAACAGGTAAGACCAAGAAGAGGGTAACAGTTTATTTTTAGTTTATTACATGGTACAGATAAACTTGCTAGTATAAATTCTAGTAGCTATTTGCACATTTAAAAACTTAAATATTTAAATGCTGTGGACTAATATTTCTAATAGATAGGAAATTCTTTGTCTTCTTTTAGAGGCTGGTTTAAGTTGGACTTTCCTATCGTTCTCATATTTTATTACCATTCTGAGATTAGTACAGTGAGAGTTCTCTCACACACCCATCCTGAGCAAATACTGTTCAGCATTTGAGTTCTCTGTGAACAGGACCTTATTTTTTTAGCTTCAAACATTATAATTTCCTTTCTATTTCCCTTCAGGGAATACTGGTAGAACAGTTGGTGGTGATAGTCCCTGTTATTTCTAGCTTGCATTCCAGTTTAACCATCCTCCTCCTGTTTGTAGTTTTTCATTTTTCTTTCCTAGAAGTGAGAGACCATGGGCTTAAATGAAAGAGAAGGGAAAGAAATGAACAATTATTGAATACTTTCCCTGGGCTGTGTAATGTGCTAGATGCTTAGGCATTATCATTTAAGTCATACAGCAAGACAAGATAGTAATGTGTCCATTTTACAAATGAGAAATAGAGACTTTGAAAAGTAAGTAACCTGATGATGTAAGAAACAGCCCTGATTTGAGGCCAAAGCCCATGTTCTTTCCTATCGCAACTTGTAATTTTAAAGATATGTAATTTAAATAAGGTGTAAGGAGATATATTCTTAAGGAAGATTTTTTAGAAAACATTAAAGAGAGTAGATTCTTTTTGGGTGTCTTCCTGTTTAAAAGTCTAAGTTGTTAATGGGAGTAGCATGGTGTGCTGGAAAGAACAGCAAGTGGGAATCAAGAAACTCAGATCATAATCTTATATCTGTTTCTATGTGACTTTGGATAAATAATTTAATCTCTCTGGGTTTTAGTTTTTGCATCTGCAAATGAGAGGGTTGGTCTGGATATATAATTTAATCTCTCTGGGTTTTAGTTTTTGCATCTGCAAATGAGAGGGTTGGTCTGGATAATCTCTAAAGTCCCTTCTAATTCTTAAGTTCCTTAATTCTGTATCCTCTTAAAATTCTTTCTGAAGCTTTAATTCCATCAACTTTGCATTTCCTTAACCCTTTGTAATTATCCATTTGACTTATTTTAAATTTATTTTACAACCTTGCATGTGTTTGTGTGTGAGTGTATATGTGTGATTTTTGCAACATCAAAAGTATTATTCCATATCCACGTAAGATAGAAGGTATTATTCCCTAAGTTGTCCAATGGCACACAGCTACCAAATAAGCAACATTTCAAATCCAGGTCTCTTACTTGAAAGTCCAATTCTTGGCCTTCATATTATGCTGATTCTTTTCCTAAGGAGATTCTTGTGTAAGTATGTTTTTTAGTTTATGTGAAAAATACTAGATGAACTTTAAAAAATGAAATCTACCTGAATAAACTGAATTTTATTTTTAAAGCATATAATCTAGAAAAAAATAGCTTGAAAACAAGCTATGTCACTTGACTGAATATTAAAAGCCCAAGTACAGGTAAACTTTTTTTTCATGAAATTGAAGTGTTGTTCATTTATCTGATGGATAAGGTTAATCTGAGAAGATTTAAATGCACAGCTGTATTTGTTTAGCTTTTGTTGCACAATTCTGTTTGTTAATGTGTTGTGTACATGTAACCCTTCATGTATTCCCATACACAAACGTGTACCTCTGTTATTAAATTACAGACCCATGAATACACTGACTTTAACAGGCCAGTTCAGTTTTGCTGAAGTTCACTCCTGGGTGGTTTTTTGCTTGCCTGAAGTTCCTGAAAAACCTCCAGTAGGAGAATGTGTGACATTTTACTTTCAGAACACTTTCCTGGATACACAACTTGAAAGTACCTATAGGTAAATAGAGCTTTACTGGGTAAGGCTGCTAAATTTTCATTTGTTTTAAGGCAGGAATAATATGCAAATAATGTGATTGAAAACCTATCCTGTTCAAGAGAATCTATTAAAAAAGAAGTAGAATTACTGGGTTTTTAAAAATTATTAAAGATGAATATGAAAGATCAGTACCTTTTCTTTCCCAACAATAACCAGTTAGAAAATAGTTTAAGAAGACCCTTTCAGAGTAGCAATAACAATAGCAAAATATCCAAATAAAATCTATAGGAACATTCTTTAGTAGAAATATGCAGAACTTATATGAAGAAAACTTAAAAATTTTATTGACACAAAAGACTTGATTAAGGGGAGTAATAGATTCTACTGTCATCCATATGAAGACATTATAAACATGGTAGGGCAGTCTTTCCCAAATTGATTCAAACATCCTAATTCCAATAAAAATACCAATTGAATTTCTTTATACAAAAATATAGGAAATGGCTCAATTACAGAGCTTAGAACATGCAGGCTTTGGAAGTTATCATGTTAAGAGTTGACAGTCATTATGTTCAGCCATTATGTTCTTTACACTCTTCTCAAACCCCCAGTGTACTCCTTCCCCATTTACTGTCACTTCCCAGTCATCTCACATAGGCTGCCACAATTTCTATTTCTGAACACAGTAGAAGCTCAATTTTCCCTCTGCTTTGTTCCTATCTCAGAAGGTAAAATGACCTACTTCCTGGGTAAGGCTAATTTCTCTACATCTGCTCTTTGAGCTTATATCCTCAGACTTCTTCAGGGTCTTGGCATTCTCATTCTCTCTCACATCTTTAGGTTGTTTTTTTTTGTTTTCTTTTGTTTTATAATTTCTTTTTGTTTGGAGGGGAGGGGCCTTTATATCCTTTCCTGTCTCTCTCCTAAGGATTCTTTCTCTCAATTTGAGGTATTATTGAGGTATTCTACTTCCTACTTCCTAGTTGAGACTTTACTATGCTACGTTCTGGAAACAATGAACACATAATTTTACCTGAGACTGCAACCTTTTGGGACCAAGAACTTTCCAGAAATCTAACTGGTTTTAGCATCGGTTCTATGGAAATATTTGACTTTACCCTCCAAGGGAATCTTGTTTGTGTCTAAACCTATAATAATGTCTCCTGTTTTGAAGTACCACAGTGAACCTCACATTTTAATCATAGCAGACAATTCAACATGCTCACAACATACTATGTATTTTTATAGTAGCTTACCTTTGCTCTTTACCATTCTGTGTCCTTAAATATTCTTTCCTTAACAGTCAAAACTCAACTTATCCTTCAAGGCCCAACTCAATAGCTACATTTTTTATTCCTTGGTTCTTTCTTGATTTTCTTCTCTGTTCCCATAGCATTTTATTCTTATTTGTTTGAGAAATATAATATTTTTACATTCTATATTTATAACATATAAATACATATATATATATATAATATAATTTTTCTGCAAGCTTGTCTTTATAAATTAGACACTAAGCTCCTCGTGGGCAGAGTATATTTCCTAATTGTCTTTGTTTCCTCCAAGTATCTAATAAACAGCTTTGAACATGGTAGTGCTCAGTAGATGCTTTTTGGGTGCCTGAGTAAAATACATAAATATGGAGAAAGTAAAGAAGTGTGTGCGTTGGAGGCAGACATACATACTTGAATACAGGTTTGAATCTTGGCTCTGTGACTCACCAACTATTTGACCTAGCTTGAACACTTAATTCTTTGAGCTTCAGTTCTCTTTTCAGAGGAAGGAAAATAATAGTACTTACTTAATTGAATTGTGATTATTGAAAAAGATGAATCATAACAGTCATTTCACAGTGCCAGCTACTGTGTATTTAATATTAAATGTCATCAGTTAAAATTAAAGACTGGTGAAAATCTCATGAGTTCTAAAATACAGCTGAGATCAAAATGGTAAGTATATATGTTCATCCATTTAGAAAAAAGAACTAGAATTTGCCTACAGCTAGTTAGTATAAATTATTTGTATGTGTAAAAAACAAATAAAAAGGCAACACTGAATACATGAAAGATGGTATATATTAATTAGGAAACTTTGGGTCATCATAAAGAGAAGCCGAATGCAAGCAGCCTTAAACAAAGAAAAGGAATTTATGAGCTCATAGAACTTAAAAAGTCCAGCAGTCGTCTGTCTCAGGCACAACTGGATCAGTGTTTTAACTAATATCATCAAGACTTTATTCCTTTCTATTGCTCAGCTGTGTTTTTGTTTTTTCTTGGCTTTCCTGTGTAGTTCCATAGTGGCCACTAGCACTCCATCTACCTTTATGTCTTTTCAGCTACCATAGAGCCTCTTTTCCCCACTTAGTTTCAGTAAAACTCCCAGGACTAAGTATCATTGCCAAGCCATAATCCACTGTGACCAGGGGTTTGGAATGCACTGCTAAATGCTTCCTCCTGAAGTCCCAGAAGTGGGGCTTAGGCTAGTGCAGTGAAACTACATGGACTGAGAAGAATGAGAAAGGAGTGATACCCTGAAGAAAAAAAGGATTCTGTGACCATAAAAGGTGGCAGTAGATGCTAGATGTGGAAGAAGTTACATTTAGTTTTAATGTCAGCTTCCTTTTGAAGATGTAGTCATGCTGTAATTTATGTGATTACATAAAAGAAAAACATGCTTATATGTAAGTAAGCAATTCTGAATGTATTTTATATATATAAAGGGTTAGCTGTTGGAAATAGTGAGAATGAAGAAAAAAGTTGTTTTCAATGATGGACTTATATAAATTCTCATATCTTTAGAAGGCATATATCTAACATTTTGTTTGTTTTATAAGTATGTTGGGAACTTGAATTAATAGAAAAAGGTTGCATGTTTAAATATGCTTTATATTAATAATGAAATATGTTTACAAAGGAATCTAAAATCAAATGATATCTAAACACTAGGTACCAGTCATAAAATATGTATTTGCTGGACATAGTTACTGTATGTATTTCCATCTAAAGTTGTTCTTTAAAAAAATTGTTAATTCTATAGAAAAGGAGAAGGAGTTTTTAAATCTGACAACATTTCTACTATATCCATCCTAAAAGATGTGCTCTCTAAAGAAGCTACAAAAAGGAAAATTAACCTCAACATATCATATGGTAAGGAAGAAAAATGAATAATTTGGGGGTTTTTTTTGTATGGTTTTTTTTGCTGTTGTTGTTACATTAAGAATGTTTTTATCAAGGTGATTACCTAATTATGCCTGGCTTATTAACTCCTTCTAGAGATAAATGAAGTATCAGTCAAACACACCTTAAAGCTAATCCACCCAAAGCTGGAGTACCAGTTACTTTTGGCTAAGAAAGTGCAGTTAATTGATGCTTTAAAGGTAAGTATATGTATCATGGACTCATTATCATTATATTATTGTGATGGAATTTCTAAAATTGTAAAGTCTTTAAAGTTACACTGGATTGAATTTTGAAGACTAAGATGCTTCTACTTTTTTAATTTTAAATAAGGAATTGCAGGTTCATGAGGGACATACAAATTTTCTGATACCAGAATATCGCTGTATTCTTGAAGAAGCAGATCACCTACAGGAAGAATATAAAAAGCAACCTGCACATCTTGAAAGACTATATGGTTAGTGGACCATTCCAGAACAGCTTGCCATATTTCTTTTCTGCTAGCTATTTGCAAAAGATCATGTGAGAAAAGATGGGAAGGAGGTGATAGGGAAAGATTACAGCAATCATAAACCAGTGACAACCAATTTATTGCACAGAATATTTTGTTGTTTTAATATTTTTACTTGATAAGATGAAAATAAAAATTGAGACAAGTGTAATACAATAAATTTATCTATATATATGAAGAAATCTGGTGTGACATGAATATAAACTATGAAACATTAAACTTTAGGCCCCATTTCACACAAGTAATTTTCTAGTTTGGTTATGAAATATGAAAATGCAGAATTTAATACTGCTTAGGCAAAATTTAATGAGTGATATATATGTGCTGTGTCAAATTTCAGTTTAAAAGTTGTTTGCTTTGGTGGTGAGAAGTTAGGTTTGTTATAAATGTATTGAAAAAGCAAGAACAAGGGGAACATGAGAGGAGAAAAAGAAGAAAGAAGGAACAGCTTAAAAACATTTTTTTGCTGTAAGATCGATTGTGCATAGCACACCTATTTATTTATAACATTTTCATAATTGGTTGGGATATTTAATCCTTAAAATAGCTCTGCAAGGTGGATGGTGTTATCTCCATTTTTCACATGTTTTACTGAAATCTGAGACTAAACAATTTGTTGTCCACAGAGGTGGTTACTGGCAGAGTCTTTATAAGAAGAACCTTCTGGGCCCAAAATGCATGCGGTTTTCGCTATGCCAAGTCTTCTGTAGTGTCAGTTGGTATCATTAATCCATATTGATCCTTAAGCTTCCTAATGAATTTCTGACTTACACCAGGGACTTGCTCACAAACTATAACAGTAATATCTAATATCTTAATTACTATATAGCAACACATGATCTTTTATTCTAACTTAGAAGGTGGGTGGTACAGAACCATCTCTTATCACCAGTTCAAAAATCCAGAAATCTTTGAAAACCAAAGCTTTTTTTTCATAAATTAGTTGACAGCAAATCTGACTTGATCTGAATCAATTTAATGACAAAAATCTCAAACTAGCATGAAGTTATTTATAGTCTTTTTTCTTCCATTTCATGTGAATATTTATCCATATATTTTATTGCATAAACATTACTATGTTTTGTTACCAGATGCTCACTGCCCTTGGGTATTATTTATGCCAAATATTATATATTTCATTTATTATCTTACTAAAATATGGAAAGTTCTGAAACAAATCTTACATCATGGGTTTTGGATAAAGGATTTACAGCTTAAATTATTCCCATTTTACATATAAGAAACTGAAAGGTGAAATTATTTGCCCGGATCTTTGAACCTAGGAATATTTACCTTCAAGTCAAATCTCAAGAATGGTCCAGAGATAGATGGAATATTTTAATTCAAATAAAGCTGTTAGGAACAGAATCTGTGTACCCTTATGTCAAATTAGTCAACTTAGGAAAAATATACTGCTTGTGATTTTAAATATAACAGTAGCAGTTCAAAACTGGCCAGCAGTTGATTTGTCTGAATTAATAGCCTATCACCTGTTTTTAAGAGGGTTATTAACCAAATGATTTGTATTCTGAAACTTGCCTTAAAATCCCAAAATATTTTTTAAAACATCAGTCCTTTTTGGTTTGTGCATTTAAAATAATGGATTAGGTGCTTAGAAGTCTATTCTCAAGCAATCACTCATTTTCATTAAATATTAGAACAAACATTCAGTTAGAATTAATTAATAACATGACGTAAACATTTTTATTTATAGGTATGATCACCGATCTTTTCATAGATAAGTTCAAGTTCAAAGGCACCAATGTGAAAACCAAAGTACCTCTTTTACTGGAGATTCTGGACAGTTATGACCAAAATTCATTGATTGGTTTCTTTGATGCTGCATGAAATATAAACAAGGTAAAGTTCCAAACAGTTGTCTGTTTAAATTACAAGCTAACTTTATAAACTTTTATTTCAAGTGATTTTTAGTATTATCAAAAAATATCAAGATATGACTTTTTTTAGTAATACCTCTTTCTTTTGAGAAACAGAACTTTTTTAAAATTAGAATTTTTATTTTTAAAACAAGTAGAATGATTATAAGGGATTTTAATGAAATTTTTAGAAGTGGATATTTTAACTTTTAAGTTGAGAAATAGTATTCAGAAAATAATATATTCAAATATTTGACAGGCTATGCACACATACATATGTAAACTCCTTTACAGTTTTCAAAATATTTTTATATACATTACTTAACTTAATCTTCACAATATATATTTATTTCTGTTTTGTCAAAGCATTTAAGAAAGCTGATTCTTAGTGAGATAAAGTGATAAAGAGGACATGCTATTACTTTGTAAAGCTGGGATCAGAACCCAAGTTCTGGTGCCTGGCTTGTGTCCTGATTACTATGTATGCTGTCAACCAGTGGAAATAACATACCAGTTATTTTTTGCAGGAGTTGAGATTGACCTGCAACAGATTTTGCTCTTGTAGGTAATGTTTTGTGTCCCATGTTTATTTTGTGGTAGGCTTGAGTTGGCTTGGTACTGTAAATTGTGGCCAGGGAAATGAACAGAGTTTATACAGATTGGGAGCATCTTAATTTGATGTGCTGTGACCTGTAAAGCTATACAAGTGTACTATATTGAGTAGTAAAAAAATAGTGATGGCCTCTTTAGATTTTCTTGCACTAGTGTCCACTCATTTCCTTTTTATTATATATGTAGGAAAATATGACCTTAAAACTACAGAATTTTGTCCATTAATCTTATTAATTCATATTATTCATATTCAGGGGAATATTGTATTTAAACATTGTCTTAAAATGGTTTAAAGATTATAGTGGAAAACAAGCCATTTGTTTTTAAGAAGAACATACTTATGAACTTGTCAGAAAACAATAATGCTTAATTATATACCCTTATAGTTAATACTGATGTACAAGCCTTTTGTGTATTAAATGTGAAAACTTGTATAAGGCACATATTAATAAAAGTTTTATTTTAATAAGGTCATATTGTTTTTATTTAAAAACCTTCATTTCTAAGTAGAACACATAATTTAAGTCACTAGAATTTCACTGGGTGCTTTTTGTTGGCTGCCATAGTTTGGGGGAAAATAGATAAAAATTAATGACTATAGTTGAATTTCTTGTAGTATATTACTCCTTTTTATATATATCAACAGTAGTTCAAGGTGCTCCTTAATTGCATCCTCATTAGGAAAAATAAACATAAGCCTGAAGAAACATCTAAATGGTAAGAAGACATACCACTTGAGTATCACCTGCTGTGTAATAGACTTATTTAATCGTAACACCAAACGTATGACGTGTAAATATTATTACTCCCAGTTAACAGAGAAGAAAACTAAGTAAATTGATCAAGACTACCGGGCCAGTAAGTGGCTGATATTTTAGACCTTGGGAAACATGTCACTCAAGCTGACGTTCCCAGGGCTGAAGGACGGGGCACCCCACTAATAATTGCTAAAGTTTAACTCAGTTTTCCCTAGAGACCTCCCTTGCCCTGAGCAGAGGAACCGACTAGTGAAATCACCGTAAACTCAGACCCCGCCTCCCCGTCCGGGATGCAGGCGTTGTCCCTTCCGCCGCCGTTCGACGTTTCTCCGCCCCGCCCCTGTTGGGGGGGCTTTCGCTGCCGCTTTCACTACCCCGCGACCGTGTCGCCTCGATTGACGTAAAAAGCACTGGCCCTTTTCATTGGCCCATTTCAATAGTCGCGGGATACTTGAACTGCATGAACAGCCGCCGCTCCGGCGGGCTGCGAGCCTCATCTCGGGGGCGTCATTGACCCTTTACGCCTGGCAGTACCTACTTGGGCTCTTCACAACCTCCTCGGACCTACGCGATCCCGAGGGGGCGAGCGGGCAGGCTGGCTCGGGCTGCGGCGGGCGGCTACGGCTGGAGCATTCCTCGGCGGGACGGAGTGCACGCTGCTTGGCGCCGCAGGCTGATCCCGCCGCGCCCCCAGGAGCAGTGATGTTGGGCAGCTCAGCGGCCCGCGAGGCAGGCTCGGCGCTGCTAACACTGCAGAATGCAGCGCTCCAAGAGGACCAGGAGAACATCAACCCCGAGAAGGCGGTGGCCATCCAGCAGCCCCGGACCCGGGCGGGACTGGCTGTATTGAAGGCGGGGAACCCGCGGGTTCAAGCGCCGCAGCAGAGGCCCAAGACGCGCCGGGTAAAAAGATGAATGAGATACCTGCGAGAGGGTGGGCCGAGCGGGATTTTTGCATGAATTTAGCAGGCAGAGAATAGTGGCTAGAGCCGGTTCTCTGGGCTTTCTTAGGAAGGCCCCGGTCTGGAGTCTTCTTGATCCCTGGTTTTCTTGTGTGTGGGAAGCCACTGATAGTTTCTCCCATTGCTCTCCCAGCCAGCACTGTGCATTAATACTGCCTGTCTGCTGTCTACTGGGAGTATTTTTTCCATAGGTAATGCGAACAAACCAAGCCTTAAAACCTGAGTGTGGCCTTTGCCTGCCTCCGCGCCTTTATTTCCGCTTTTAAACCCCCGGCACTGAAGTAAGACCCCAACCTTCTGCTTCCTCCCATATGGTTAAGAGATTACCTCTAATTTAAGAAAGGATGTGAAAATACTTTGCTTTTGCTAAATTCCGCCATTTTACCGCATTTGCTCTGTTGCTCCACCCTGGGGTGAAAGTAGTGAACCAACACCTTTTGCCACTTCTTTCCTAAACTTGTCATCTTTCAGCTTGCCACTCTATTCATCTTGTGGCCTTGATTGGTTTTGCATAATTCCACTTAGTATGACTGTTTTTATAACCTTTGTAGGAATGTCTGTGACAAATTGGAACATCCCTTCTTTCTTCAGCTGCTCAAACTTTGTTGCCTGGGTTTTGTCCCACAGAGTCTAATTTTCCTTGACAGAGTATTTGGGAGTAAAAGCAGAGGCTGAGATCCAAAATGGGAAGAGAGCAATACTCCATGTAATAGGCTCAAAGCAAGTTATTCATTTGTTTTTAGGTTGCACCTCTTAAGGATCTTCCAACAAATGATGAGCATGTCACTGTTCCTCCTTGGAAAGCAAACAGTAAACAGCCTGCATTTACCATTCATGTGGATGAAGCAGAAGAGTCTCAAAAGAGGCCAGGTGAATGTAAGAAAACTGAATGTGAAGATGTCCTAGCTTTTAATTCAGCCATTACTTTACCTGGACCAAGAAAACCTCTGGTACCTCTTGATTATCCAATGGATGGTAGTTTTGGTAAGTTTTAAAGAACAATCTGAATCAAATCAATGTAATCAGTTATTAAATATTATCTTACATGATCCCTACTATATAATGAATTCAGTTTAATGTAACAAGTTTAGAAAGTGTGCGATTTTAGACCTCACAGCTAATACATGACCTAGTGACCTACCAAAGGACTCAAATCCTGATCGGGTGCTCCTTCTTATACTCTACCAATCACATCAATTTAATTAGATCTCAAGTACTTATTTTAATCTGACCTTGGAAATGTTTGCTTGATTGAGAGAATAAATTTCAGTTGTATTCATAAGAATCAGTTTGTACATACCACTTTATAAATAGAGTGCATTTTGAGGATGCAGCTTTAAATATTGTGATATCCAACATCTCTTCCAGCTTTAAAGTTTTGTGTCTATAAAACCAGTCTGAGTGAGTATCTGATACCAGAGAGGAACATTGTCCTCCTGTAAGTTAACAGTTGAACCATGGCTGTTTGCCCTCAACCACATAAATAAAGCTGCCATAAACAGCTCTCCCTAAAGTTTGCAGTTTTTTTTATCATAGGGCTAGTGGGTTCTCACTGGACAGTTCACTAAATCTAATCTTGTTTACTTTTAGTTCTGTTCTTGAGAGATGGTCTGGTAGTAGTAGGAAGGTCCTTTCATAAAATGAAAATTTGCAATAAATTTTTACCTCAAACTGAACCTTGAAGTGAAAAGAATAATGTATGATATTTACCTCAAAAGATAATTGAAAGTACTAAAAAATGAATCAGTTGTTGCAGTGTTTATTTGAACTGCCCATAACAAATCTAATTTTCTCATTAATATACTTGTTAGCCCTGCTTCTAGTTAATGTTTTGATTGTGCTTTGAATATGTCAGACTTTGGGATCTGCATGTGCAAACTTTCTTAGAGAAAGTCCTAGATATTATCTCAAAACTTGGATTTTAACTGTGCTTACAGAACCATGTCATCTGCTCCAGTCTCATAGAAAAAATAATGATACTTAATGATCCTCAAAATCATTTTCCTGTTAGTGGCCTGTCAGTATTTTTTCTTGTTATTTAAAATCATTCCAAATCTAAGTGGAGAGAAGTACGAAAACCAGAGTAAAATAGTGTATGTACTTTGTCATGAGAAGCTGTTTTTAAGGTGAAATAAATGCTTCAGTAGTGTGGGACTCCTCACAAGAGCAATCACTTTCAACTATTAACTTAAATAGAAAATTAAACAATGAACTTAATCATACCTTTGAATTCCCCCAGAGTCACCACATACTTTGGACATGTCAATTGTATTGGAAGATGAAAAGCCAGTAAGTGTTAATGAAGTACCAGACTACCATGAGGATATTCACATGTACCTTAGAGAAATGGAGGTAAAGGCTCTCTGAATCTATGCTTTATACTATTATTTAATGTGACAAAATTGGGAGGATAATATTTTTAAGTTTTTAATTGCTAGTGATTTACTCTGCCATACGTAATGTTTCTGGCATGTAGCATCTTTGTTGATGATAGGAATAATCTGATTGCAGTTTTAATACTGTACTAAGTAACTTTCTCAACAGGTTAAATGTAAGCCTAAAGTGGGTTACATGAAGAAACAGCCAGACATCACTAACAGTATGAGGGCTATCCTTGTGGACTGGTTAGTTGAAGTAGGAGAAGAATATAAACTACAGAATGAGACCCTGCATTTGGCTGTGAACTACATTGATAGGTTCCTTTCATCGATGTCTGTATTGAGAGGAAAACTTCAGCTTGTGGGCACTGCTGCTATGCTGTTAGCCTCGTAAGTCCAACTTGGTTTGTTGGATTAAGAGCGATCAGTACCTTTCTGTGTAGGGAAGGAATTTTAATTTTTGACCATGTGACATTTTAACATTCTGTGCAAGGCAGAGTTGGTGACTACTTTAGGGGTGGCAGTGTGTATGAAACTGTTGTCTAATTTAGGAAATTAATTTTCCCAGATCTGGATTCCAGTGTACCTTCTTGACTGAACATGGGGACTGGCTACATTTCAATACAGTAGGACAAGATTATGAAGTTGAAACGTGTGGTTCCTTCCATTAAAAAGTTTTCTTGCATATAAGCAAAATCTTATCTTTTCCCTATTAAGCCATAACTAAATTTAAAACTAAAACATAAACATTTATTTCTCTAAGAAAGTTTCCTGTGTTTTCAGTTACTTGGTGAGCTCTGGTACTTTTCCCATCTTGGGAAGTCTATCTCTCTTATTTCCTTTGACTGAACTGGGGAAAATGTTTCAAAAAGCCTTTATTTCTTTGGGTCTTTCAATTGTGTTTACCCAGTCTCTGCTAGAAATGGTCAGGCATTAATAACAACAGGCAGTGGGTGGAGAGTGTAGGTTTTGTATACATTCCGTGTATTTACTAAAGGGAGTTCAGACTTGGGATAAACAAACTTCTCTTAAAATGACTGATTACTTAAAACTTTTCTCATTGTAGAAAATTTGAAGAAATATACCCCCCAGAAGTAGCAGAGTTTGTGTACATTACAGATGATACTTATACCAAGAAACAAGTTCTGAGAATGGAGCACCTAGTTTTGAAAGTCCTTGCTTTTGACTTAGCTGCACCAACAGTCAATCAGTTTCTTACCCAATACTTTCTTCACCAGCAGTCTGCAAACTGCAAAGTCGAAAGTTTAGCAATGGTAAGTTCTTTTCATTTTGTTGAATGAAGATTCTTAGGTCACAGTTAAGGGCAAGTCCCAGTTTCATTATACAGCTTTGGTCAGGGGCTTACAGTTTTGGGGGAAGAATAATATAGTATGGAAGAAAGCCTGCTACTGGCTAAATATAAATTGTGAAAGCACTAAGGGTAGTGGTATGAGGATTAAGTCTTGAGAAATGGTAGCCAGAAAAGTTGTTCTTAAAGTCATTGAGAGGAAAAATGCAGGATGAGAGTGGATCAAAGCACTGAGATACTGGATATGTTTGGAGATGAAGCTATGGAAATTTTTTCCCATGGTTGCTATAAGAGCCTATCTTGAAAACAGGAAAATATTTGGTCAGAAGGCAAGGCTTTGAGATCTGAATACTATAGCTCTTGTGATCATAATATATATTTACCTTTTTCCAGTTTCTGGGAGAGTTAAGTTTGATAGATGCTGACCCCTACCTAAAGTTTTTGCCATCAATTATTGCTGGAGCGGCCTTTCATTTAGCACTCTACACAATCACAGGACAAAGCTGGGTATGTATTATGATGTCTTTGCACATATCTGCCTTGTGATTTAAATACTTGTGCCAGGTAAGTAATTGTCCTATACAACTGATGGCTGTTTCCATGTACTGACCTAGAAAACTTCAACTACATTGTTTAAAGTGCCTTGCCTGTTTAATAGCATTATGTAAAGTGCCTTGCCTGTTTAAAAGCATATTAAAGCATATGCTTGCTAGGTAGAAAGCTTCGTTATTACTTACATTTAAAAGGTGTGCTTAAAGAATTAGGGCTCTAAGACCTGTTGCGCTAAGGGAAAGTAGTAACATTGATCAAAGTCAGCATAAAAGAGATGGAATAATGACTCACAAAAACTGGAAGATGTTAGTTGGAGGTTAATACTGAAATTTAAGAAAATTCAAGCTTAATGCCAGCTACTAACTCATTGTATTTAGTGTCTGTTACTAAAAACAAAACTCAATGGTTCTTTACTCCCTCCTCTGTAGCCTGAATCATTAGTACAAAAGACTGGATACACCCTGGAGAGCCTTAAGCCTTGTCTCATGGACCTTCACCAGACCTACCTCAGAGCACCACAGCATGCACAACAGTCAATAAGAGAAAAGTACAAAAGTTCAAAGTAAGAATTAACCTGAATAGATATAAAAGAAGCTTGCTTTTCTAGGTGATCACATGGTTGAGAGATCTTAACATTTTAACTTTATCAAAGGATTCACAAAACAGGCACAGCCTCCTTAGAATCTGTTCTCTTAGCAGGCCATGTGTTTTGAGTAGGTACTAGATGTGCTTTCCTGCATAAAAGGAGCGAGGGGACGGGGCACATGTGCTTGTTCTGGGGACCAATGATTTTATGACCATTCAGTCATACAAATAGCATTTTTGAGTTCCTAGTATAAGTATCAATCCATGATCTCCTTCACCTAAAGACTGTTTACTAAAGATGGGTTTTTTTCCTATTTACAGGTATCATGGTGTTTCTCTCCTCAACCCACCAGAGACACTAAATGTGTAACAGTGAAAGACTGCCTTTGTTTTCTAAGATGTAAATCACTCAAAGTATATGGTGTACAGTTTTTATCTTAGGTTTTAATTTTGCAATCATTCCTGAATACAGAAATTATGGTCAAGTACAAATTATGGTATCTATTTTTCAATGGTTTTAATTTGTATATCTTTTGTATATGTAATTATCTTAGATACTTGGCTAATTTTAAGTGGTTTTGTTAAAGTATTAATGATGCCAGCGGTCAGCATAAGAATAAGAATTAATAAATTGATCTGGAAAACTTGGTTTCTAAGTTAAATTTAATTTGAGGTAAAAATTTGACTTAAGAATTTCACTCAAAAATTTGGTTTACTATATAAGGGGAATGGGAAGGCTTCTGAAATTAAAAAAAAAAGCAACAAAAGTCCTTATTCATTTTCCTAAGCAACTGAAACAATTTGCTGACTTGAGCATAACCTAGGGTATTTGGAATAAATCTGTTTATCAGTCATGATCCTGCGTTTATTTCAACCCCTGAACAACACTATGAAATGCTTTTCATCAGCCTTTACACTTTACCAAAGGAACAATCACTTAAAACCTGTTATGAAGTTCTCCAGTTTTATCCTAAAGCATAGTGTTAAAAAACTATATTAAAAAGTGACTAGATTTTAATGATAGCAAAATTAAAAAAAAAAGTGACTAGATTTTATAATGGATTTGTGAATTAAAAATACCCAAGTTTATTAGTGCTGAATAAATATCCTTTTTAACAGTTACATACACAAATATACAACTTAGTTTTAATTAGTAGCTCTCTTCTTTTTTCTCTTTCTTACTGGCTTTTTGCTTGGTGCTTTTTCTTGTTTTTCACTGATAGTTTGTGTTCTGTGAAAAAAGTATATTAACAGTTTACTACTAACAGTATTAGTACTAGAAGCTGATCCCACAGATGATTTACAACTCATACCATTTTGCTTGTTAAAATTTTCCATCACCAGAATAGAAGGCCTTACTTAATTTTTTCTAGTAGGATGTAACATTTGCCAACTGTGAGAGTTAAAATGCTCTAACCTTGACAGACTTCTAAACAATTTTATAGAATTATGTCCTATCTAATGTTTACAAATCTCAGGTTGAAGAAACCATGGAAGGCTGGATTTCAAACGAAAAAGGGATGTTTTTGTTTACAGTAGGGTAAGATAAGAGTAAAACCAGAGAGCAAGTCTCTAATAATCTTGAGTATGTGTGTACATTGAAATAAACCACAGATTTGTTACCTTATTTTCTTTGGATTCTTGTCTGGTTCTAAAATGATCATTTCTTCTTCTTCACTGTCTGAGAGTACTATAGGGGCATCTTTAAGAAAATGTTAAGAAAGCAATATAAGTTATCTCTTGGAGAATTTCCACATAGGTTTATGTCAGCAGTTCTAAATTTCCATACAAACAGAGCTCAAGCTTCTCTTTGGGTGGAGCCTTAAGAAATATTTTTATTTCTTAAAAATTATTTAATTCCATAATCATTTAATATGTGCTTCTCTAAAGAAGGTACCACAGTTTCTCTTAGAATTTGCTAATTTTGAAGATCTAAATTTAAAATTTCTCTCTATTAAAACACCAGAAGGAAAACAGCTAGGAGCAGAATTGTTGGGTTGAAAGGCATATTTTTGCCAACTGCCCCCAGAAATTCCAAGATATAGTATATGAAGAACCCATTTCCTATATACCCTTAACCAAAGCTGGTATTTTTAAAATTGCCTAATAAAGTAATCAAAAACTGTCTCATTTTTTGTTTTGAATTTATTTCCTTTATTACTACATGAAATGTGTTCCTGTCCACTTGTATCTCAGAATTATTTTATTTTTCCCATTTTTCTCCTGAGCCCTAGTTATGATATATATAAAATGTAAAATTAACTCTTCCCAGATGGTAGTATGTCTTCATATTTTGAGTTTTCAGTTAATTTCTTCCTTTGTTTGTGTACTTTAGAGAGGCTTCACTTGCCTCATCCTCCCAATTATCTTAGGTACACCTTCATTGTTCAGTTGAAAATACTACTGTTCAGACCAGCATCAAATGTCTAGCTATTAACCTCATTAATCTTAGAAAATTTATTTCACAAGTATATAAAGAGGCATATGCAAGGATGCTTACTGTAGCAGTGTAATACAAAAAAATAACACATTTAGTAATTAGAAATGATTAAACCAACTAGTTACCTTCAACTCTACAGAATTCTATGCAGCACTTAAAAAGATGTGGCTATTCTATATGTCATAACATGGAAAAACTTCCCAAGATTCATTCACAGTTCCTGTGTTTGAGCAGCTTACAATGGTGTACATAAGAGTGAATAAATAAAGCTGACCCTTGAATAACACAGGATTTGGGGTGCCAACCCTCCATCTAGTCAAAATCCACATATAACTTAAATACTCCCCAAATACTTAAATGCTAATAGCCTACTACTGACTGGAAGTCTACTGATAACAGTTGATTAACACATACTTTTTGTTTTATACTTAATATATACTATATTCTTAATAAGCTTAGAGAAAAATGTCTTCAAATTGTTGAAAATCTTAAAAGAAGATTCCAATATATTTACTGAAAACTGCATATAAGTGGACCCATGCAGTTCAAACCTGTGTTGTTTAGTGGTCCAGTGTACATGGAACAGGTCTGGAAGAATACCAGATAGAAGCAAGCACTGGGAAACCTGAATAAGGGTCCTAGTTGATGGATATTTTTCATCTTTAGAAAAAGCACCAGCAGGCTCTCAGTATTGTTTACAGGCAATAATTTTATTCCTTGAAAGGCAGGTAGGTATATGCATTACTCACTGAACAATATCCCCTTCCCTATTTTCTCAGCCAGGTTTAGTAAGTACATCCTTTAGTTCTCTGCCAGCCTAGTTCCTAGATCCATCTTTGTATGATTTCTATTCTAACTACATAAAAAAAATTCATGATTATTTTCTAGTAGGGTCCAAGCAAGAATTTCTCTGAAACAAAAATGTCCACAGCTGAAAACAATTTTTCCAGTTCTACAGCTTTCAGAATGCAAGGAACATAGGATTACCAGTATTCCAGGTAATTCTAGAATTCTGGGTTCTCATACTGTTCTAATATGGTAGTAATATGTGGCTATTTGATTTTATAGTAATTAAATAAAATTCAGAATTCTTCAGTCACAAGCTACATTTCAAATGCTCTATTGGCTACACGAGGCTAATGGCTACTATATTTGACTGTTGATATTAAACATTCTGTTAAAGTTCTATTTGGACAGCGCTACTCTTAATAAACATGATATGGGCTTTATGTTTGAGTCTACAACTAGAAAAGACAGCATTCAGACAAGAAAAAACAGCATTCAGGAATGAGATTGTTAAAAACTTCATCACGTTAAAACTGGCCTAGATATATATATACAAAAAGAACAAAACATTTTTTAATTAAAAATGCCACTACATATGGACACCAATGAGTACCACTACTCCACAAAGATAAGTGTATTCTTTTAGAAAATAACTGAAGTTAGCATTTTGGCCTGAAGAGTGTAGTTAAAATTAATCACAAAATATTTCGCTACTCTAAAAAAGGAACTGCTACCTAAAATCGGTAAGTGAAATAGATATGTATATATTACATAAAAACCATGAAGTATCCCCTACCTTGGCTTCCAATATTGGAAACTTCTACTCCAGTGTCCATTTTGACACTGTCGAGAATGACAGCTTCATCACTGCCACCTTCATTCTCATCTTCCTTGTCAGAGTCTTCAGGATCACCCCAGGAGTTTTCTATTCCCTCTCCAATCTGGGCAGTTCCAGGAGTCCACAGTACAGGTTGAGAAACACTTAGTAAGTTAAAACTGAATAACAGAAATATTGCTATTTGATACAGTGTTGAAAAAGGTAAGAATCAAAGTTTTCTTCCTTTAAAATTCAGTTGCCTCAAATTCTTATGAAAAAATATTTACTGGTAGCCATACTATGGATGGCTGAACAAAGAGGCAAAAAGAAAAAATTCAAACTCAGGATTTTATGGACACACTGGTGAGAAATATCAAGGGACAAACTGGCTCTCAACATACTAGTTGTAATAAACTTGGTGAATAGATGAATAATTTCAAGAACAATGTGTAAAGTGTATAAAGTACTTGACCATGCTATTGAAATTAAAGAACAATTTTCCAAAGGGAAATGAAATGCTATAAATTGGTTCTTAAAAGTAGAGAATTCTGGGTTTCTACAGGATAGCTCAAGAGGTGGTGGACGTTATCCCGATGACTTAATATGACTCATCAATACCTTGCAGCATGAATGTTTTCTCTAACGAAGTACAGTTGACCCTTGAACACACAGGGATAAGGGGCACTCACCCACTGTAGTCAATAATCTGTCAATAATAACTTTTGACTCCCCCCAATTTAACTATTAATAGCCACTGTTGATGGAAGCCTTACCAATAACATAGTCAATTAACAAACACATATTTTGTATATGTATTTTATATGTATTATATACTGTATTCTCAGAGTAAACAGAATTTTTTTTCCAAATTGCGACAAATCTCCAAAACACTTTCTGATGTATTTATTGAAAAAAATCGAAGTATAAGTGAACCTACAAGGTTCAAACCGGTCTTGTTCAAGGGTCAATTGTACAGTGTTTCAGCAAACAAATTTCAGTATGTATAGCCCTAATAATGCCAAAAGTATTATGAAACTTCTTGTTACTAAAAAAAACCACCCAATAAAGATACACTTCTGAAGGAGGTTCAGCTTCAGCAATGATTTCTTCTGCTTTCTCCTCTACATCAGAGGTATCGATAGGAGCCTTTTCCATTTTAAATGCTGTGATTCTTTGATTTGCTATAGACTCTGCAAAACCAAACTTTCCACCTTCTTTCCTGTGTGGAGATTTTTGAAGTGGGAGGGGAATGACACATGGGAGAGAAGACAGGAAGGGAGAAAAAAGTTAACTATTTTATCTTTTTGATGTATGAGAAACATAAGAGTTATTTTACTAACTTAATGTCACCAAGAGAAATAATAAAGTTTTTATTATTACCATTTACTGAACCATGTGCCAGACATGTGCTAAGTGCTTAAAATGTATTATTCTCTAATTCTCAAAGAGCCCTACCAGGTAGGCATTATCACTTCCCATACAGAAGATAGAACTGAAGTGCTAGGTTACAGAAATTGCTTAATAATTTCACAAAGTAAGAAATAGAGATAGTAATCAACCCATGTGTGTTCTTTACATTAAATTGACTTGCTAGATTTTTTTTCCTAAGAAAATGTATATTTTTAAAAGGAAAAATGTAGCTTTTAAATACAGATATTTAAATTGAAAATATAACAGAGGCCAATCAACTTACCAAAAACATTGTTATATTCAATGAGATTAACAGATGAGGAAATATGAAGTGTGAAAATTACATGGTTACCCTTATGCAAAAAAGATCCTTAACAAAAAAATCTATATAAAAATCTATTTAATTTTTTCTAAAAAAAAATTAAACTTACCTAACTTTCTGGTCATTCTCCAAAGCTTTCTGTATTAGCTCTGTAATTTCTGCTACTTTCACACCAGCTATTTTACTACATCTCAAAACCTATTTATAAAAGTGAGTAAGTGAATTCTGTTACTGAAAGATGACAAGCCAAATAGCTTTCTGTAACAAAACTAAAAACATAAGATTAGTTCTTCTACCATTATAATTAAAGCCTGATTTTTTTCTTCAAATATGAAAAAATAATACGTGTAAACACAAATTAAGGCAAGATGTGAGAGTTTTAAAAAGTGTGAAAGACTATCATGTTAAGGGAACAGACCTGAAAATTTTTTCTATGACAATGTAAAAGATACCACTGAAGAAGCCACAGACAGACATTATATGCTCAGGGATGCACTAACTTACTTCCTTTCTGTGTGGGTGATCCACAGCACCAGTTCAAGACATGGCTGTAGTGTCCCCTGGGGAAGCTTTAAAAAAGCAAAGATTCCCAGGCCTCAGGGACCTCATGGATCAATCTCTGGAGACAGGGATCTGTTTATGGTCATGATGCTGGTAATAATGACAATGATGGCAATAGTAGAAACTAACATTTACTGCACACTTAATAATATACTACACAGCGTAATATATCCATATCTAATTATCCTTATATCCTTCTAATAACAAGGTGTCAATAGTAACATTATTCCCTATTTTATAGATAAAGAATCTGGGGCAAAAAGATACCAAGTCATTTGCCGAAAGGAAGTTAGTGTATAAGGCAGAGCTGGAATTTCAAATAAAGCAGCCTCTGTACTACACGCTACCTGGCAATCTGCTTTCTAAAAGCCCCCATGTGAATCTGATATGTAGCTGGATTTGAGAACTTCTGTTCATGTAACCCAACTTCTAAGAGTAAAACTATCTTTTTACCAAATTTCTACTTTTTGACACTCATTTTTTGATAGGGACAGGAATCTCTTTCCTCAGTAGAAAGAAAAAAGCGTTCCTCTATCTAGAAGTAGACTCTGGAGGACGGTACATGGATGCTGCAGCAAGGAAGGATGGAGGATACCTTGTAGCTACCAGTAAACAGAGCATCATAATAGCACTGAAACCAGATTCTAACACATCCTAGAAGCAATTGAAAATATTGTTGGATTTCAGTAAAAAACAAAACCCTCTAAAGAGACCCATTCTTTATGGAACAATAATAAAAGCACTAACTTGATCTTTTAGCAGCATTATCCCACCACTGGACTGGATGGTACAAATCTCTCGATGTTTGTTCATGGCAATTACCAGCAAGCCATCCATTACACGTTCTTCTCGTTCATTGGGATCCACCAATAAATATGTTCTGCAATGCACGTTAAACAGACCAGAACAAATGAGGCTGAATACTTGCCAATTTTAAGATAATGAATGTTTTTAAAAGATGAATTAATAAAGCCAACACAGTGAAGGTCTGAGCCTGTGTATCTGACTAACTTTAATGGGAAAAGACAGAAGAGAATTATATCTTTTGGACACAAAATAAATGCTAAGTGGAAATTGCTAGTTATTACAGTAAAATTGCATTAAGTTCATATTGGTCTTATTTAAATAATACATAATGTAAACCTGATGCTATCTCTTGATTAAATTATTTGTGGCTCATTAATGAAAACTTAGATAACATTTATTTGGTTAATTTTAACGCTTCCCTAATGTCCTGTCCTCTGAAGTTCTAGGCTCTACTAGTGGCTCGTTAAAAAACATGCTATTTCTGCACCGTCCAATGTTAGCCTCTAATCACATGTGATTACTGAGCCCTTGAAATGTAACTAGTTCAATCTGAGATGTACTAAATTATAAAATACTGGATTTCAACAACTTAGTAAAAATAAACGAATGTAAAATACCTCACAAATAATTTTTAAGATATGGATCACATATTAAAATAATATTTAAGGTAGGCAAAATAACATGTATCAAAATTAATTTTACCTAGCTTTTTAATGGGGATACTGGAAAATTCTGAATTCCATATATAGTTCATGTTATATTTCTACTAGACAGTGAGTGCTGTTCTATTTCTAATGCAATTCAATGCTATACTGTTGGAAACTTGAAAGATTTTCTCTAGTTCTTATGCATAAATTATTAAAATATTTATATCTCCCTTTGTTTCTAAAGAAATTTAAGGTTAAAGCTTTCATTTAAATGCACCATTGCATGAACCTAAGACTCCAGGTTTTCTACTGAAGGAGGAAATTGCAGAGTTGTGGTAAAACTGCGGGAGAACTAAAGGAAATGAGATTTTTTTTCCCATTTGTGAACCACTCTCCTGTGACCTACTCCATGTAATAAACTACTATAATATGATCTAAAGTCCTCTGCCTTTCATTAATCCAGTTATTCTCACGTCACTTTCCCAAATTAGAGCCTAGCACACAATTCTCTCAACACTTGTACTTCTCTAGGAAAGATAAGACACTACCATGTGGCAATAAATTCATATTATAAGTATTCCATGAAATGAAAAACATTATTAAGTCTCTTCATTATAGAAGAGTTTGTCACCTCTATTGAGAAAGCTCTTTGCCAACTAATCCCTTACGAAGAAAGGAAAGAACTGTAAGGTGCTTTAATACTGGAGAAGGGGTTTGGTTCATTTGTCCATGGCACATTCGAGTAGGACAAAAAAGTTCCTACCTGCATTTATCACCTTAGCCCATGACAAGGATGAGACTTACCCTTGTTGGAAGAAGGCAAAACTGACACAAATGGGCATGTGGTGGATGCTTAATGGTACAGGATCACGCTCTTCAGGTGTATACTGTTTGAAAATAAAAGTTTGAATAATTATAGTCACTAAGTTCAAAACATACAAAAAAACCACCTTGGACATTAAATATGAAAATAAAAAATAAAACTCCGCTAATCCTCAGTGAGTACCTAGATAAGTCTTTTATAATTACCTATATGACTTTGCCACTCATGTTCCTTAAAACTTTGTCAAAGAACTTTATAGAGGTAAAATTTAAATACCATAAAATCCACTCTAAGTATATGATTCACTGATTATCAAATGTATGGTTATGTAACTACCACCTCAATCCAGTTTTTTTTTTTAACACTTCCATTACCTGTCAAAATTCTCTTGAGCCTGTTTGCAGTGAATTCTCACTTCCACTTCCGGCCCCAAGCATCCACTGATTTACTTTCTGTCTCTATAAAACAGCCTTTTCTGGGCACTCCAAGTAAGTGGAATTAAACAGTTTTTAGCCTTTTGTGTCTCCCTCCTTTCAACTTAGCATGTTTCATCCATTTTGTAGTACCTATACATAGTCTGGCCTTTTCTTACTGCTAAATAGTATTCCATTGTGTGGATATAACATATTTTGTATTTCCATTCACCAATTGATGGACATTTGGATTGTTTCCAGCTTTTGGCTACTAAAATAATGCAGCTATGAATGTTCACATGAAGTTGTTGAGTGAAAATATACTTTCATCCCTCCTGAGTAGATGCCTAGGCATGGAATCACTCGGTTGTGTAAGTGTACACTGAACTTCTTAAGAAACTGCCAAATTTTTACAAGGTGCCTACATCATTTCACATCACAACTAACAATAACTCGATAGTATTTTTTTTGGTATTATTAATCTACAATTACATGAGGAACATTATGTTTACGAGACTCCCCCCCATCACCAAGTCCCCCTGACATACCCCATTGGTCACTGTCCATCAGCGTAGTAAGATGCTGTAAAATCACTACTTGTCTTCTCTGTCTTGCACAGCCCTCCCCATGCCCCACGCCACATTATATATGCTACTCGTAAAGTCCCCTTTCTTTTTCCCCCCTTCTCCCTCCCTTCCCACCCATCCTCCCCAATCCCTTTCCCTTTGGTAACTGTTAGTCCTTTCTTGGGTTCTGTGATTCTGCTGCTGTTTTGTTCCTTCAGTTTTTCCTTTGTTCTTATATTCCAAATATGAGTGAAATCATTTGGTACTTGTCTTTCTCCGCCTCGTTTATTTCACTGAGCATAATACCCTCTAACTCCATCCATGCTGTTGCAAATGGTAGGATTTGTTTTCTTCTTACGGCTGAATAATATTCCATTGTGTATGTACCACATCTTCTTTATCCATTCATCTACTGATGAATACTTAGGTTGCTTTCATTTCATGGCTATTGTAAATAGTGCTACGATAAACATAGGGGTGAATCTGTCTTGTTCAAATTGGGCTGCTGCATTCTTAGGGCAAATTCCTAGAGGTGGGATTCCTGGGGCAAATGCTATTTCTATTTTGAGCTTTTTGAGGAACCTCCATACTGCTTTCCACAATGGTTGAACAAATTTACATTCCCACCAGCAGTGTAGGAGGGTTCCCCTTTCTCCACAACTTCGCCAACATTTGTTGCTGTTTGTCTTTAGGATGGTGGCCATCCTTACTGGTGTGAAGTGATATCTCATGGTGGTTTTAATTTGCATTTCACTGATGACTAGTGATGTGGAGCATCTTTTCATGTGTCTGTTAGCCATCTGAATTTCTTCTTTGGAGAACTGTCTGTTCAGCTCCTCTGCCCACTTTTTAATTGGATTGCTCGCTTTTTGTTTGTTGAGGTGTGTGAGCTCTTTATATATTTGGATGTCAAGCCTTTATCGGATCTGTCATTTATGAATATATTCTCCCTTACTGTAGGATGCCTTTTTGTTCTATTGATGGTATCCTTTGCTGCACAGAAGCTCTTCAGCTTGATATAGTCCCACTTGTTCATTTTTGCTTTTGTTTTCCTTGCCTAGGGAGATATGTTCATGAAGAAGTCGCTCACGTTTATGTCCAAGAGATTTTTGCCAATGTTTTTTTCTAAGAGTTTTATGGTTTCATGACTTACATTCAGGTCTTTGATCCATTTAGAATTTACTTTTGTGATTGGGGTTACACAATGATCCAGTTTCATGCTCTTAGATGTAGCTGTCCAGTTTGGCCAACACCAGCTGTTGAAGAGGCTGTCATTTCCCCACTGTATGTCCATGGCTCCATTATCATATATTAATTGACCATATATGTTTGGGTTAATGTCTGGAGACTCTATTCTGTTCCACTGGTCTGTGGCTCTGTTCTTGTGCCAGTACCAAATTGTCTTGATTACTGTGGCATTGTATTTGAGCTTGAAGTTGGGGAGCGAGATCCCTCCCACTTTATTCTTTCTTCTCAGGATTGCTTTGGCTATTCAGGGTCTTTGGTGATTCCATACAAATTTTAGAACTATTTGTTCCAGTTCGTTGAAGAATGCTGTCAGTAATTTGATAGGGATGGCATTGAATCTGTAGATTGCTTTGGGCAGGGTGGCCATTTTGACAATATTATTTCTTCCTAGCCAAGAGCATGGGATGAGTTTCCATTTGTTAGTGTCCTCTTCAATTTCTCTTAAGAATGTCTCATAGTTTTCAGGGTACAGGTCTTTCACTTCCTTGGTTAGGGTTATTCCTAGGTATTTTATTCTTTTTGATGCAATTGTGAATGGAATAGTTTTCCAGATTTCTCTTTCTATTAGTTCATTGTTAGTGTTTAGGAAAGTCTCAGATTTCTGTGTATTAATTTTGTATCCTGCAACTTTGCTGTATTCCGATATAAGTTCCAGTAGTTCTGGAGTGGAGTCTAATTTAGGGTTTTTTATGTAAAATATCATGTCATCTGCAAATAGTGACAGTTTGACTTCTTTACCAATATGGATTCCTTATATTTCTTTGTTTTGTCTAATTGCCGTGGCTAGGACCTCCAGTACTATGTTGAATAGCAGTCGGGAGAGTGGGCATCCCTGTCTTGTTCCCGATCTCAGAGGAAATGCTTTCAGCTTCTCACTGTTCAGTATGATGTTGGCTGTGGGTTTATCATATATGGCCTTTATTATGTTGAGGTACTTGCCCTCTATTCCCATTTTGTTGAGAGTTTTTATCATGAATGGATGTTGAATTTTGTCAAATGCTTTTTCAGCATCTATGGAGATGATGATGTGATTTTTGTCCTTCTTTTTGTTTATGTGGTAGATGATGTTGATGGATTTTCAAATGTTGTACCATCCTTCCATCCCTGAGATGAATCCCACTTGATCATGGTGTACGATCCCCTTGATGTACTTTGAATTCGGATTGCTAATATTTTGTTGAGTATTTTTGCATCTATGTTCATCAGGGATATTGGTCTGTAATTTTTCTTTTTGGTGGGGTCTTTGCCTGGTTTTGGTATTAGGGTGATGCTGGCTTCATAGAATGAGTCTGGAAGTATTCCATCTTCTATTTTTTGGAAAACTTTAAGGAGAATGGGTATTATGTATGTCATCTGTGTATGTCTGATAAAACTCCACAGTAAATCCATCTGGCCCAGGAGTTTTGCTCTTGGGTAGTTTTTTGATTACCGATTCAATTTCGTTGCTGGTAATTGGTCTGTTTAGATTTTCTATTTCTTCCTTGGTCAGTCTTGGAAGGTCGTATTTTTCTAAGGAGTTGTCCATTTCTTCTAGGTTTTCTAGCTTGGTAGCATATAGTTTTTTGTAGTATTCTCTAATAATGCTTTGTATTTCTGTGGGGTCCATCATGATTTTTCCTTTCTCATTTCTGATTCTGTTAATGTGTATAAATTCTCTTTTTCTTTTTATAAGTCTAGCTAGGGGCTTATCTATTTTGTTTATTTTCTCAAAGAACCAGCTCTTGGTTTCATTGATTTTTTTCTATTGTTTCATTCTTCTCAATGTTATTTATTTCTTCTCTGATCTTTATTATGTCCCTCCTTCTGCTGAATTTAGGCCCTATTTGTTCTTCTTTTTCCAGTTTCAGTAATTATGACTTTAGACTATTCATTTGGGATTGTTCTTCCTTCTTTAAATATGCCTGGATTACTATATACTTCCCTCTTAGAACTGCTTTTGCTGCATCCCACAGAAGTTGGGGCTTTGTGTTGTTGTCATTTATCTCCATATATTGCTTGATCTCTATTTTAATTTGGTCATTGATCCACTAATTATTTAGGAGCATGTTGTTAAGCCTCCATGTGTTTGTGAGCCTTTTTGCTTTCTTTGTACAATTTATTTCTAGTTTTATACCTTTGTGGTCTGAGAAGCTGGTTTGTAGAATTTCAATCTTTTTGAATTTACTGAGGCTCTTTCTGTGGCCTAGTATATGGTCTATTTTGGAGAATATTCCATGTGCACTTGAGAAGAATGTGTATCCTGTTGCTTTTGGGTGTAGAGTTCTGTAGATGTCTATTAGGTCCATCTGTTCTAGTGTGTTTTTCAGTGACTCTGTGTCCTTATTTATTTTCTGTTTGGTGGATCTGTCCTTTGGAGTGAGTGCTGTGTTGAATTCTCCTAAAATAAATGCATTGCGTTCTATTTCCTCCTGTAATTCTGTTAGTATTTGTTTCACATATGTTGATGCTCCTGTATTGGGTACATGTATATTTATAATGGTTATATCCTCTTGTTGGATTGACCCCTTTATCATTATATAATGTCCTTCTTTATCTCTTGTGACTTTCTTTGTGTTGAAGTTTATTTTGTCTGATACTAGTACTGTAACACCTGCTTTTTTCTCCTTATTGTTTGCATGAAATATCTTTTTCCATCCCTTGACTTTTAGTCTGTGCAAGTCTTTGGGTTTGAGGTGAGTCTCTTGTAAGCAGCATATAGATGGGTCTTGCTTTTTTATCCATTCTATTACTGTGTCTTTTGGTTGGTGCATTCAGTCCATTTATATTTAGGGTGATTATTGAAAGATATCTACTTATTGACATTGCAGGCTTTAGGTTCATGGTTACCAAAGGTTCAAGGTTAGCTTCTTTACTATCTTACTGTCTAACTTATCTCACTTATCAGCTATTATAAACACTGTCTGATGATTCTTTCTTTCTCTCCCTTATTCCTCCTCCTCCATTCTTTGTATGTTAGGTGTTTTTTTTGTACGTGTGCTCTTTTGTGTTTCTTTTGCCTGCTTTTGTGGGTAGTTGATCTTATTTTTTGCCTTTAGTTAGTATTTGATTTTTCTGCTTTCTTTGCTGTGATTTTATTTTCTCTTGTGACATCTGTTTAGCCTTAGGTGTACTTCCATCTAGAGCAGTACCTCTAAAATACCCTGTAGACATGGTTTGTGGGAGGGAAATTCTCTCAACTTTTGCTTGTCTGGGAATTATTTAATCCCTCCTTCGTATTTAAATGATAATCGTGCTGGATACAGTATCCTTGTTCAAGGCCCTTCTGTTTCATTGCATTAAATATATCATGCCATTCTCTTCTGGCCTGTAAGTTTTCTGTTGAGAAGTCTGATGATAACCTGATGGGTTTTCCTTTGTAGGTGACCTTTTTTCTCTCTCTGGCTGCCTTTAATACTCTGTCCTTGTCTTTGATCTTTGCCATTTTAATTATTATGTGTCCTGGTGTTGTCCTCCTTGGGTCCCTTGTGTTGGGAGTTGTGTGTGATTCCGTTGTCTGAGAAGCTATTTCCTCCCCCAGTTTGGGGAAGTTTTCAGCAATTATTTCTTCAAAGACCCTTTCTATCCCTTTTTCTCCCTCTTCTTCTTCTGGTACCCCTATAATGTGGATATTGTTCTGTTTCGATTGGTCACAGTTCTCTTAATATTTTTTCATTTCTGGAGATACTTTTATCTCTCTCTGCATCAGCTTCTCTGCATTTCTGTTCTGATTTCTATTCCATTAATGGCCTCTTGCATCTCGTCCATTTTGTTTTTAAGTTCTTAGAGATTGTTTTATTTCTGTATTCTCCCTCCTTAGCTCTTGCATATTTCTCTGCAAGTCCATCAGCATGGTTATGACCTTTATTTTCAATTCTTTTTCAAGAAGATTGGTTAAATCTATCTCCCCAGATTCCCTCTGAGGGGAGGATGTCTGGATTATTCTGGTCTGGATTAAATTCTTCTCCCTTTACATGGTGATAGAGGTAGTCGTAGGCAGTTGGCGCATGTGTCAGCTGGGAGAACCAAGTCCCTCTCCACTTGCTTCTTTTCCTGGGAGAATAGCGACCCCAAGTGGCTTGTGCTGGACAGTTGCACTCAGATGCAGTCTGATTCTTGCCCGGGCCGCTGTGAAGGAAGGTATGCATGGCTGCTGTGGGCGTGGCCAGTCTCAGGCTGCTACTCCGCTATGGTGGGGCTGTGCTGGAGGGGGAATGGGCGGGAGGCTGTTTATCACCGTGAGGGGCCTCAGAGCTGCCCTGCCACCCAGGAGGTTAGTGCGCCTGGAGTTCCCCAGGATTCCCAGCTGCTCAGCTGAGTGCGCCAGGATGCTTCTGTCCAGCTGTGAGGCTCTTGTCCCTTTTAGACTTTTAAATAGATTCGCTTTTCTTTTGTCCCAGGGGTCTTGGCTGTGGGAACCTGCTCACAGGTTTTACTGTTCCATTTCCCTAGTATCCAGCACAGCATGCACTGTATGTCTGCGCTCCCACTGCGGATGACTAGGACTGGGTATTTAGCAGTGTTGGGCTCCCTCTCCCTCCCCGGTCCGACTCCTCCCGCCGGTGAGCTGGGGTAGGGGTGTCACTCGGGTCCCACCGGGCCGCGGCTTGTATCTTACCCCCTTCGCGAGGCACTGGATTCTCGAAGATGTAGATGTAGCTTTGCTGTTGCCCTGTATCTTCTGGTCTCTCTTTTAGGAATAGTTGTATTTGTTGTATTTTCAAAAATATATATTTTTTTGGGAGGAGATTTCCACTGTCCTACTCTTGCCACCATCTTGGCTCCTCTCCAACTCTATAGTATTTTTAATGGCTATCTTTTTTTTTTTGTCTACTAATCACTCACTTTTTTTTTGTTTCCTTATACCAACTCCCTTCTCTGAAGGAACATGGCTGTACTGTTAATATACCTTTGTCCCTACCTCTTAATATTCAGTCTCTCTCCAGTCTAATGCCTGCAAGTAGCATCATCAATAACTGCTCAGAGAATTTAGGCATCTGAGGTTTCCTTTTACAACTTCAGGACTCAAACTACCATGACAGTGCATTTTCATTATTTTACATGCAACTGATATAAACTGAAATAGACACACTCAGCATAAGAGACAAAGTACATACTATAGTCAATCATTTTCAAAACGTGGTCCTTGCACCAGCACCATCAGTACACCTGTAAGGTCAAATTCGTACGTCTTACCCCCATCCTACTCTAAGGGATGCTTAACAAGCCTCCCAGGGATTTCTGGTGGACTTTGCCAGCATAAGCCCAGACATCTCACTGTGCTCAGAATCATGTATTCTGGGAGCTTACCAATGTTACTTCATCTCCTTGGACAGAGACATCAGGTCTTCGGAAGTGACACAAGGCTACAATTGCAGCAATGCTGGCAGCATCTATAATATTTCCATCATGATTTAACAAATGCAGGTCTACACGTATTTGCCAAACCTGAATGTGAATTAAAACAAAAATAAATTCTAACTGATCACATCCAGTGGCTATTTATAAGGAAAAGTTAACAGAGTATGCAGATTCTTCTCTTGATGCTAAAACATACAATTACTCCTTCTACTGTATCAGTAAAAATTTATTCAGAAAAATGGTAGGCCAGACCATCTGATACACCAATAGTTCAGCTTTCTATGTATCATGTGACAATAGTAAACTATATACTGTAAATAAATAGAACTATACCATACTTAATACTAAGATTTCCCTAATTCCAAGATTAATTTTATTTGTATTCTGTCTCCCAACTTAAAAACCTCAAACTTCTAGGTTTTCCTTTACAATACTTAAGATAACCTTATAAGTAATACAAATAGGAAGTATCATATTCAATATGGAATGTGGAAATCTAACTGACTTCTCTGGAGTCAAAAAAATGACCAAAATACCCTCATCAAGAATAAAGTTCTAAAATTACACAGCACAATTTATTGAGAAAGATTTCCAATGCTAGCCTATCACCAACTCACTGTATGGCCCTGTATATGTCAATAAACCTACCCAAATGAAAGAATAAACCCATTCTTCAGTTCTTCATCCATAAAAAAGGAAGTTACCTGCTTCTATCAACTCAAATAATCTAGTGAGAATATATGAAAAACCAAAAGTTCTTTGAATAAACATTTTTACACAAATACAAGTTGCTATTTTCACCAATGTTTTTTGTCCCTTCAAAAAGAGATGACACAAGTTCTGTGGTTAACACTCAGAAATATTTGAAGTGAAGGGAGCCAGTATATAACTGAATTAACTGAAGCTCTGAGAATGAAAGCACAAATACACAGATCCATGAATCAACAATACTCATCCTAAGATTAAGAATTTGGGGCATATTCCCCACCTTTTCACCAGCAACAACACAGAGAGATTCAGTGTCTATACACTTCGAATTTCTTAGACATCTTTCCAAGAGTCGGTTCAACTTCACCAAGAGATCTGACTGCCTATGAAAACAGGAATGAACTAATGTCATAAACTGTAACACCAAGCATTAAAACAATAGCTTGCTGCTGTTATGTTCTCTAGCTAAAGCAGCTTAAGAAAAAGATTTAAATACCTGCCAGGTTCAAAAGCTGGGGCAGCCATCTGAGAGAGTTCAAGGTTAAAAAAAAGAATACCTTCTGTTGCCCTATTGAGTTTTGGAGAAACAAGTTCACAGGAAACCTGTCCAAGAATTCTGCCGAGATAAAATACAGTGTGTTAACTAAATATATATCCTTTTAAATTTAAAAATAAAAAGAAATCTAAAACAGATACCAGTTGATTTTTTATCTTACTGAGTAATAACCCCATACACAGCATGATGTATGATGAAACCATATATACTAGTAGAACATATAACAAAATAAAGCACATATTGGCATACCCAAAGATATGACAGGAAAAAAAACAGCTATTACAATAGTGACTTTCACAGATTAAAAAAACAAATCAATGACCTTTACTTCTCTTTTCTAAAACAAGTATTTACTGATACAAGATGGCATGAAAACTAGAGACTTTGTAAGGGTTTTCATATGGCATGGTTTGCCAGCATTACCTGACCAATAGCCTCACAACTTCCAAATTACTATTAAAAACATAATTCTCATGACACTCAGGAAAAAGAAGAAAGTAGAACTTAATGAAAAGTACAGGAAACGAATTCAGTGCTGGTTGCATATGATTTCTATAGCGGTCAGAAAGAACTATGTGATACTCAGATGACAGAAAATATTTAAAAACAAAGTGTTACAAAACCAAAAAAACCTTATTTTTGGCAGCTAAAGTACTGTTTAGACTTATTAGCTGCTTTGTAAAAAACTGAATCAGTAAGGTACCTTTAAACGTCTTCTTATTAAACTTAACTTGAATCCTTTGTTACCTTGTTTTACCAAGTTCCACAATACAGCACCCATAATCTGTTCCAAACGAGATCCTGATGTTCCTATAATCATAGGTTTGTCTGCCATCCAGCCGCTGTAAGCGCAACATTCATTCGTTTAGTCCCTTCAACGAACACTTACTGAGCAGGTACTTTTTGCCAGGCCCTAAACACTGGAGGAAAGGGGGATCCTAACCCCCTCCCCCCCCCACCCCAGGAAAGCGGAAACCTGGTGCCGAAGCACTAACAGTCACTTGAAAACACACACTTGAACCAAACAAACCCTGAGGGATGGGGGGCGCACTAGCCATTCCCCGGTGGCTCACGAGGCCTGCGAGGGCCAGGTCTGTGCGTGCAAGCTGAAAAGCTGCTGGCTTTCTACGCAGCGCGAAGTTCCCCGGGACTATTTACCTTCTTCTCTTCGATGGCGCGGAGTAGGAAGCGGCGCTCGCAGTTTGAAAGTGGTGTCTCCTTCATGCTATCGGGTCACGGGACCCACAGCACCCGACAATCACCCACCAGCACAGGAATCCACGGATAGAAGTGAATCCGAGCTTCTTCACGCGCGCACTGATCGCTGGCAGCGCAGAAGATTTGCGTCATCAAAGCTTGGCGGCTGAAGGTGGGAAAGCAAAGGCGGCACGGGCGGAGCGGGCGGGGCGGATGTCACTAGTGCGCAGGCTCAAAGCAAGGTGGGCGCGGGCGGAGCTAGCTGAGAAGCAAAAGTCTTTGCGGGCGAGTGGGTAGCAGAATGGTCTGGTTCTTATGTCATTAAGTATAGAGGAGAAAAGGGCCCACAAATAACCATCAGTGATAGATATTAATATCACTATAGCGTTCTCAGACAATCACCTTTTTCTCAGTTCTAGCGGGGTAGGCTAGACAGGTATTATTGCTGTTGTACGAATGAGAAAGCTGGGATTCGGCCACTAGAATGTTGCAGGGACAGAGTTTGGAGCGAATTCAATGGAGATACACCGGAGTGAACGGGCTTAAATGGACAGGCGGGGGAGAAGTGGAGACGGTGAGCTGAGCTGGAATGCTATTGCGGGTTAACGGTGAAACCTCGTGGACAAGAGTTGACGAGAATTGAGACTTCCCACTTTGTAGCAATAGTTTCATAGCTGTCATTGGCTGAAACAAAATTTGCTGTCTGTTTTTCAGTCTCTCCAGTTATTGTAGGCTGATATACTTATTTTTATGAGCGTAGAGGAACCTCAGTGTGTCCGTTCTGCCATCCGCTGGGCTTTTCTGGAGAGGCAGTGTCTAGTAGGAACTGAACTACTTGGGCTCTCTGTGACCTTGGCTAAGTTAGACTGTGCAACTTTACTCACTTGTAAAATAGGAGTTATAAGCCTATTTATTATGAGGGATAAAAACCAATTAATACATGCAAAATGCTTAAAACAGGGCCTGACATGGAGTAAGCACTAGTCAAGAGTTTACATCTTATTATTTTGTTTCCATTTGCTTTAGAGGTGATAGGCACTGTCACCACTGATAGGCCTCTCCTACACAGGTTCCATTTTACATCTTTTGTCTCTTCTCACACGTTTTTTCTACCAGTGATACATTGTACAGTTGACCCTTGAACAACATTTTGAACTGTAGAGGGCCACATATTCGTGAATATTTTTCAATAACTAGATTGGAAATTTGGAAAACTTTTTGGAGATTTGCTACAATTTGAAAAACATTCTCATTTCTATAGCTTATTTCATTGTAAGAATATGGTATATAATACCGATAACAAAATATGTGTTAATGAACTGTTTATGTTATCAGTAAAGCTTCCAGTCAATAGTAGGCTATTGTAGGTTAAATTTGGGGAGAGATAAAGGTTATATGCACATTTTCTGCTGCGGGGTGGAGGTAGTTGGTGCCCCTTACCACCCCGTCTGTACTCTCAGTTTGTACCACTTGCAATCCACGTACTCAGTAAATTACTTACATTATTTATTAAGACCTCCTACGTACCAAGAATAATTCAAGTAAGACAAGATCCTGTCCCTCAGAGAATTTGCATTCTCTGTTGGGGATACAAATAATGAAAAGCTAAATAAATAAAACAGTTTCATATTAAGTACTGAGAATGGGGATGCTGATTTAATAGTAGTTGCAGGAAGAGGTCACTTTATAGAGGGAGCATTTCAGTTAAGGAAATCCTTAGCGATGGGAAGGAGCAGCCACAGAGTTGGGGAAAAGGAAAGGTGTGTCAAGCAGAAGGAGCAACATGAGCCAAAACGTAAATAGGATGAGCTCAATGTAATCTGGAGCCTGGAATTGTTAGGTCCTCGTGCTCAGAGTTAATTGTTTTTCAAAATTGGCAAGGGGATGGTTACAGGGTACAAGCCATCTAAATTCTGTAACAACAAAAGTCCATGTGTATAGTACAGCTTCACGACAGAACTCCTGACTAACTTCATCATTTAATAAATCCTTGGGTTCTTTTATTGGTACGTAGTAATTTTTCTTTCCCTTCGGAAATGAAACAGGCCTTTATTGAATTAGTCTATCCTTTCCTAGAAGGAAGCTTGGTAGTGGAAAAAGAATGGACTTTGGCTTCAGATAAACTTCGGTTCAAATGGATTTGGGGTGAGTTAAATAATCCTGAGTTTTGGCTTCTATCTTTAGGTTGGAAATAATAGTAGAAAATAATAATTTAATAATAATAGAGAAATAATAATTTCTCTGTGTTAAGTAGCCTGAGTGGAAGCATCTAACACAATATGTTGGACATAATAGCTATTGAAACATTAGCTTTCTTCCTTTTTTGGCCTGACGAAGGCTTACCATGAAACTGCCCAAATTCAGATGGCAGGTTGCTGTTCTGAGATGGCCATTTGGTTACCTTGCCTTTGTTTTCCTTCCACTTTTACAGAATTTCCACTCTTTTTTCCTGCTTTCACTATTATATAATTGTAATGTTAACACTGCAGCATTTGCCTTTTATTGGAGTTAATCCAAAGTGTACAACCCATCTATCTCCACTCACATCTATATAACATCATAAAATGTATTTACTTCACAACCTTGTTTTCAGTTAGAAACTTTTGAAACATGCAAGGGACCTTTGTTTCATGTGTTCAGGAGAAGAAAAGTTTGTGATGTTTGAGAAGAGGTTGACATAATGTACACTCTGCTCTTTAAAAAGAATCATTTTGAGCAAGCATATCAACCTGGGTGGTCTGTCTAAATATAACCTGGTTTTCAACAAAATATTTAAGCATGCATCTCCTTTCTTAATTGCATATCTGTACACTTTTATTTTTTAGAGAACTGCCTTTTCCTGACCCCACATGATTCTGGTATGGTTTTGTTAGTTTGTTTATTTATTTATTTATTATCTTAGACCTCATTTTCTTTAATTAAGGTATCACTGATATACAGTCTTATGAAGGTTTCACTGAGCAACATTGTGGTTTCAGCATTCACCCATATTATCAATCTCCCCCAACCCATTTGCAATCACTGTCCACCAGCTAAGTAAGATGCTACAGAGTCATTACTTGCCTTCTCCATGTTATACTGCCTTCCCTGTGACCTACCTATATTGTGTGTGCTAATTATAATGCCTCTTAATTCCCTTCTCCCTCCCTCCCCACTCACCCTACTCCACCCCTCCCCTTTGGTAACCACTAGTCCCTTCTTGGAGTCTGTGAGTCTGCTGCTGTTTTGTTCCTTCAGTTTTGCTTTGTTGTTATACTCCACAAATGAGTGAAATCATTTGATACTTCTCCTTCTATGCCTGGCTTATTTCATTGAGCATAATTCCCTCCAGCTCCATCCATGTTGTTGCAAATGCTAGGATTTGTATTCATTTATGGCTGAATAATATTGCATTGTGTATATGTACCACATCTTCTTTATCCATTCATCTACTGATGGACACTTAGGTTGCTTCCATATCTTGGCTAAGTAGTAAATAGTGCAGCAGTAAACATAGGAGGGCATATGTCCTTTTGAATCAGGGATCTTGTTTTCTTCAGGTAAATTCCTAGGAGTGGATTTCCTGGATCAAATGGTATTTCTATTTTTAGTTTTTGAGGAACCTCCATATTGCTTTCCACAATGGTTGAACTAATTTACATTCCCACCAGCAGTGTAGGAATGTTCCCCTTTCTCCACATCCTCACCAGCATTTGTTGTTCCTAGTCTTTTTGATGCTGACCATCCTAACTGGTGCGAGGTAAGATCTCATTGTGGTTTTACTTTGCATTTCCCTGATGATTAGCTATGTGGAGCATCTTTTCTGTATATCTTCCTTGCCAATCTGGATGTCTTTTATTTCTTTGTGTTGTTTGATTGCCATGGCTAGGACATCCAGTACATATTTCCCTGATGATTAGCTATATGGAGCAACAGTGCCTGTTGGCCATCTGAATTTCTTCTTTGGAGAAGTGTCTGTTCAGATCCTCAGACTATTTTTTAATCAGATTATTTCCTTTCTGGATGTTGAGGAATGTGAGTTCTTTATATATTTTGGATGTTAACCCCTTATCGGATAAGTCATTTACCAGTATATTCTCCCATACTGTAGGATGCCTCTTTGTACTGCTGATGGTGTCCTTTGCTCTATAGAAACTTCTTAGTTCGATGTAGTCCCATTTGCTCATTTTTGCTTTTGTTTCCCTTGCCCAAGGAGATATGTTCAGGAAAAAGTTGCTCATGTTTATATTCAGGAGATTTTTGCCTATTTTTTCTTCTAAGAGTTTTATGGTTTCATGACTTATATTCAGGTCTTTGATACATTTAAATTTACTTTTCTGTATGGGGTTAGACAATAATCTAGTTTCATTCTCTTACATATAGCTGTCCAGTTTTGCCAATACTAGTTGTTGAAGAGGCTTCATTTCCCCATTGTGTATCCATGACTCCTTTATCACATATTACTTGGTCATCCATATATGCTTGAGTTTACATCAGGAGTCTCTAGTCTGTTCCATTCATCTGTGGGTCTGTTCCTGTGCCAGTATCAAACTGTCTTGATTACTGTGGCTTTGTAGTAGAGCTTGAAGTTGGAGAGTAATCCCCCCTGCTTTATTCTTCCCTCTCAGGATTGTTTTGGCTATTTGGGGTCTTTTGTGGTTCCATGTGAATTATAGAACTATTTGTTTTAGTTCATTGAAGAATACCAGTGGTATTTTGAAAAGCATTGCATTGAATCTGTAGATTGCTTCAGGCAGGATGGCCATTTTGACAATATTAATTCTTCCTATCCATGAGCACAGGATGTATTTCCATTTAGTGGTTTCTTCTTTAATTTCTCTCATGAGTGTCTTGTATTTTTCAGAGTATAGGTCTTTCACCTCCTTGGTTAAGTTTATTCCTAGATATTTTATTCTTTTTGATGTAATTGTGAATGGAATTGTTTTCCTGATTTCTCTTTCTGCTAGTTCATCATTAGTATATAGGAATGCCACAGATTTCTGTGTATTAATTTTGTATCCTGAAATCTTGCTGAATTCAGTAATTAATTCTAGTAGTTTGGGAGTGGATTCTTTAGGGTTTTTTATGTACAATATCATGTAATCTGAAAACAATGACAGTTTAACTTCTTCCTTGCCAATCTGGATGTCTTTTATTTCTTTGTGTTGTTTGATTGTCATGGCTAGGACATCCAGTACATATGTTGAATAAAAGTGGGGAGAGTGGGCATCCTTGTCTTGTTCCTGATCTTAAGGAAAAGCTCTCAGCTTTTGCTGTTAAGTACAATGTTGGCTATGGGTTTGTCATACATAGCCTTTATTATGTTGAAGTAGTTGCCCTCTATTCCCATTTTGTTGGGAGTTTTATCATGAATGAATGTTGAATTTTGTCAAATGCTTTTTCAGCATCCTTGGAGATGATCTTGTGATTTTTGTACTTCTTTTTGTTGCCGTGGTGTATGATGTTGATGGATTTTTGAATATTGTACCATCCTTACATCCCTGGAATGAATTCCACTGGATCATGATGGATGATCTTTTTGATGTATTTTTGAATTTAGTTTTCTAATATTTTGCTGAGTGTTTTCGCATCTATATTCATTAAGGATATTGGTCTATAATTTTCTTTTTTGTAGTGTCTTTGCCTGGTTTTGGTATTAGAGTGATGCTAGCCTCATAGAATGAGTTTGGAAGTATTCCCTCTTCTTCTATTTTTTGGAAAACTTTAAGGAGGATGGATATTAGGTCTTCTCCAAATCTCTGAAAAAATTCAGCAGTGAAGCTGTCTTATCTGAGTTTTCTTTAATTAGTTTTTTGGTTACCATTTCAGTTTCATTGCTGGTAATTGGTCTGCTCAGATTTTCTGTTTCTTCTTGGGTCAGTCCTGGAAGGTTGTATCTTTCTAGAAAGTTGTCCATTTCTTCTACATTGTCCAATTTGCTAGCATATAATTTTTCATAGTATTGTCTAATAATTTTTTGTATTTCCTGGGTGTTCATAGTTATTTTTCCTTTCTCATTTCTGATTCTGTTTATGTGTGTAGACTCTCTTTTTTTCTTGGTAAGTCTGGCTAGGGGTTTATCTGTTTTGCTTATTTTCTCAAAGAACCAGCCCCTGCTTTCATTGATTCTTTCTATTGTTTTATTCTTCTCGATTTTATTTAGTTTTGCTCTGATCTTTGTCATGTCCCACCTTCTACTGATTTTGAGCCTCATTTGTTCTTTGTTTTTTAGTTTCATTAATTGTGAGTTTAGACTGTTCATTTGGGATTGTTCTTTTTTCTTGTGGTAGACCTGTACTGCAATATATTTTCCTCTTAGAACTGCCTTCACTACATCCCACAGGTTTTGGGGTGTGGAGTTCTTTCATTTCTCTCCATGTATTGCTTGATCTGTGTTTTTATTTGGTCATTGGTCCATTGATTATTTAGGAGCATGTTGTTAAGCTTCCATGTGCTTATGAGCTTTTTTTTCATTGCATAATTTATTTCTAGTTTCATACCTTTGTGGTCTGAGAAGCTGGATGGCACAATTTTGATATTTTTTAATTTACTGAGGCTCTTTTATGGCCTAGTATATGATCTATTGTGGAAAATATTCTATGTACTCATGAGAAGAATGTGTGTCCCACTGCTTTTGGGTGGAGTGTTCTGTAGATGTCTGTTAGGTCCATCTGTTCTCATGCATCATTCAGTCCTTCTGTGTCCTTACTTATTTTCTGTCTGGTTGATCTGTCCTTTCAAGTGAGTGGTGTATTGAAGGCTCGTAGAATGAATGCATTGCATTATATTTCCCCTTTTAATTCTGTTAGTATTTGTTTCACATATTTAGATGTTCCTGTAGTGGATGCATAGGTATTTATAATGGTTCTATCCTCTTTTTGGAGTGACCCCCTTTATTATTATGTAATGTGCTTTTTTGTCTCTTGTTACTTTCTTTGTTTTGAAATCTGTTTTGATATAAGTACTGCTTCTCCTGCTTTTTTCTCCCTATTATGTGCATGAAATATCTTTTTCCATCCTTCACTTTTAGCCTGTGTATGCCTTTGGGTTTGAAGTGAGTCTCTTGAAGGCAGCATATAGATAGGTCTTGTTTCTTTATCCATTCTATAACTCTTATGTCTTTTGATTGGTACATTCAGTCCTTTTACATTCAGGGTGATTAATGA